GTGTTGCTGAAAACGTCGCCATGTGTGCCAACTGGTGTTTCTCTGAACATTGTCACGCTGCAAGGTACAAGATTGAAACATACCCATAGCTCTTTGTTTGTCATTTCCCCGAGGCATGGTATATCCAGCTTATTCCAGAACGATGAAAAGAGGAGTTTGTCTGACTTCTGCACTTCTTCAGACTGCATGGAGAGGAGATTAAAAGCGTTTGGTTTTCTGGCCTTTTAAAGTGAACATTGATGGCCGTTTTGTTCAAATGCTTCTTGCAATTATCGTGCAATTCCAAGAACTGCTTGGTTGTGTTCCTTTGACCATTTTATCAATCTTTTTCTCTGGTTCAAATTTTCAAAACTTCAATTAAGATTCCCAGCGAAACATGTCTATGTCTCAATGACATTTGTCTATGTCTCAGATGTGCACATCTACATTTGCCTACGTAGATGATGTAACAAATGGCACCATGTTCTACTGTGGAAGAGTTTTATTTCAATGCTTGACGTAAGCTGCACCGATTGATAGATTCGTCCGCTGAATTGAGTCAAGTACTTTTTCCCAGCCGTCAGTTCAAGTATGAAAATAGGATCCAGGTTGCCCGCAGGATTCTGTTTAAATGGCCATGACATAATAATACATGTAGAAGAAAGTATAAATCAAAGTTCGTCTGTAAGATCACTCAGCGCATTTCTACTAAAATTGTAGTTTCCGGAAGACTAATGTTGGGTGACGCTTGATTCCGCTTTTGCGAATAACTGTAACATTAGATTTCAGAATCAGAATTTAAAGAATTACCATGAAGAATTGAGTAACTGACCCTTACGCAACTATACACATGAGTCAAAACGGCCCTTCATCAACCCATGAAAATAGGTTCCAGGGTTGCCCGCAGGATTCATATCATCGTGACCTAATTGCTGTAGATCGATGCTCATATGTCCAGACAACTGTATAATGTATTGGTCCAGACTCGAATATTTACAAAGCGCATTACTAGTATCTTGAGTACGACGTTAAACAACATTAAAACCACATACCGGAATTGCAATTGTGGTTTGGGAAAATATTGACGTCTCAACCCGATTCGCTTGCGCATGCGAATGTTTACTGGTCAGACTAATGCCGGTTTTACAGGCTCTACTATGCATGGAACCATGCCAGCATATAGCAATGAAGACCCCAAAACCTTCCGACCCGTTGCAATGAATAGCACCAGAAAGTCAAACGGACACACGTACCATCTTGTTACGTGATTGTTGGTTGTCGTAGTAGCCGTGGGTCATGTCATCGTGACCTAATTGCGTAGATCGATGCTCATGATGTCCATCACTGCAATGTTTGGTCCAGACTCGAATATTTACAAAGCTTATTACTGGTAAACTGCTGAGTACGATACACTGTCCATTACACCACGGATGCGATATGTACAAGTGTTAAACCCAATAAACCTGTAAAGTGACACTTAACTGCCAAATCCCCATAACCCAATATTAACTTTGCATGTGAAAAGAAGCCAGTTACACAAAGACTGAGAGATCTAAACTAAAACTTGATGTCGTGGCAATATTGCTTTCCGTTAAGATGTATAAGTGGAAAAAGCTAAATATCACAATCGTGCAAGCCTGTGGGTATTAAGCAGCGGTTGGAAGGAGCGCTTGATGACTACCTTTAAATTATGAAGAGTTTCCAGATTCACATAAAGCATGACGTGGAAAATACGGCTTGGATGCCTCAAATGGTTCTAATAGATGAGTGTCCAACCACAGTGGTATTCTATCAGAAATGGAGGATATGGTTAGCGATATGTTCGAGTATATTCATTTTGATCAGGAAATGAGTATTACTTTTAACGATTGCTGTGTATTGCTGCGGAATTTCCTTGGGTTTCTACGTTTTTTTAATATAAATATTATGGTTTTCAATTTCCAAAATGTTATTGAAAAAGGTAATTCGGTCATAAGTCAGCCCCCTTTCAGACATTCTCATCACTTTTTCATAGCTTTGAGTCCCGAGCTCATGTCAGTTCATTGTGTTTCTATATATTGTATCAGAATACATGTATATGCTTCTAGAAAATATTACATTTAAATATTCTTCTCTAAATCGCTGTGGTAGTTTTATGGTAGCATATGCCATTGTTATTTCACATATTTCTTTATGAATGGTTGATTAAATGTTTAACGATATTGGCACATTGGGATTTTTTAGGGTATGCATTTTACGAGTGCTTCCATATCAGTAGGAAAGAACGCGCAGCGTCTCAATGGCGCCTTGTTAGGACCTCTAGCCTACAGCTGAAGATGAGATCCGTCTTGTCAAGATGTACTGATATTTAGACCTCAAGATTTGAATGAACGTTGTATATGTGTGCGTGCACATGTGCGTGTTTGAGTATTAAAGGAAGTCAAAAAGTTGAGAATGTGATTTGATAGTGTCCAGGAAGTGGGTTATAAAACCCTGATGGTGATATCACTTAGTCTGTGAAAGATGGTGATGTCACTTAGTCTGTGAAAGATAGAGATGTCACTTAGTCTGTGAAAGATGGTGATGTCACTTAATCTGTGAAAGATAGTGATGTCACATAGTCTGTGAAAGATGGTGATGTAACTTAGTCTGTGAAATATAGTGATGTCATTCAGTCTGTGAAAGATAGGGATGTCACATAGTCTGTGAATGATGGTGATGTCACTTAGTCTGTGAAAGATAGTGATGTCATTTTGTCTGTGAAAGATAGTGATGTCATTCAGTCTGTGAAAGATAGTGATGTCATTTAGTCTGTAAAAGATAGTGATGTCCCTTAGTCAGTGAAATATAGTGATGTCACTTAGTCTGTGAAAGATAGTGATGTCACTTAGTCTGTGAAAGATAGTGATGTCACTTAGTCTGTGAAAGATAGTGATGTCCCTTAGTCAGTGAAATATAGTGATGTCACTTAGTCTGTGAAAGATAGTGATGTCACTTAGTCTGTGAAAGATAGTGATGTCACTTAGTCTGTGAAAGATAGTGATGCCATTCAGTCTGAGAAAGATAGAGATGTCACTTAGTCTGTGAAAGATAGTGATGTAATTCAGTCTGTGAAAGATAGTTATGTCGCTTTTTCTGTGAAAGATAGTGATGTCATTTAGTTCTGACGTTGATGTCATATATATGTAGATTAACAGATAAAGACATAAAGGTCGGGAGGTGATGTCACTATATTAGATAGATGTTAATGACGGATGTTAATCATCAATAGGTTATGTGACATTCGTCAGTTGTGGTGGTAGTTGGTTATATTCCAAAGAAACTGATCGTGTGTTGACACAGACACATTGAAATGTTAGTTGATATTAAGTATTTGTCTCTCAAACATTGCGTTGAGAATTCGATAATAAGCATATGTCTCCCCAACATTGTGATGTTAATTGATAAGCATATGTCACGCCAACATTGTGATGTGATGTTGATATAAAGTATATGTCTCTCAACATTGTGATGTAATGTGAATATAAAGTATATGTCTCCCAACATTGTGATGTTCATTTCATACGTATATGTTCCTCCAACATAGGTGATATTAATTTGATGTTAAGTAAATGTCACTCCAAAATTGTTATGTCAATTTGAAATGTATGTCTTTCCAACATTTTTAGTTTAGTTTGATAAGAATGTGTATGTACAACATTGTTGTGTTCATTTCGATAACCACATGCTCACACCAAACTCGTTCGCCGGTTGTTGTAAAGTTCTGCTGGTTTTAAAATTACTGTGTAACAGGATTTCATGATTTTCAAGAAACACCAGTGAAGCCTCTCTTCTTACTTGCCTCTACCTCATAGGATTTCGGGGCTACAACAACCTCTGATGGTTGTAACAAACGACAAAGACATGGGGTCTTCCGGCTCGCGGGATTGCGTATCTGTGTACGCTGATGACGTGGCTCGTTGCTTAAAAGATCGATCAATGGATTGTCTGGTCCAAACACGAGTATTTGAAAGCTGCCGACATATAGAAACATTATTGTTGAGTACGGCGTTAAACAACAAGCACACACACAAACCCATACATACAGTTCGCCACCCCAGCACTGAACGAAACTTCCAAATGTCAACTCTAATCGGTTTCGTGACGCTCGTCCTACAACTGGAAACACAAGATGTTGTCCTCTTCAGGCGATAAATCGAGTGACTGAGTTGGGATCTCACGTCGCTATGGGCAGTATTCCTAGTATGTCAGTGTGTGTCAGCCGAACTGAGAGGAAAGCATGAAGTTCCATAGGCGTTCCCTACCCTGGTTAGTGGGTTAGTGGGGATATTTGGCTTGCCATAGAAGTCCAACTCTGCACAACGAATTCGAATTCCAACTGGGCAACCCGTGCTTCCTCAGGTAATAAATAGACCACAACATGTCGGACAACCGTCATTATGTCTGTCTGGAGCTATACAAAAAGGTTGTACTTTTATTAGTATTACACAAGTGCCCGCATTGTGAGAAGAGTGTGATTATCTCGGGTTATATATATGTAAATACAACCCACGGGCAACAGTAGATGGCGTGACCTACCGTAAATCAGATTATCATAAACAATAAGCTACCTGCGTGTGTTCTTGATCCCAGTCCTGGAGTCAATGACCATGTATAAGAGCCAACGCAAAACTTAATAATTAGCTCAATTACCCATTACCAACAAAACTAACTATCTGCCAGTATGGGACTTAACAACCTGAGTGCTCGAACTGTTTTACAAGGAAGTGTAAGAGATATCACGCAGAGAAAAACTCACAGTGTCAGCATTACAAGTAATCGGTGAAATTACAAGTGACTTAGCGTGTTGTACAGTATTAACAACTTGGATATGTTCCAATATCGATGTGTGAGCATCAGTCCATCGTTTGCCTCAGACAAGGAGACATGTTGTTCCGTGTCCGTTTTATGCACTGGATTAATTAATATACGCTGATTGATATAAGAGCGGCTCAGTGCCTTTGTTTTCCTCAGTGTATGTGCTTCAATCCACCTTGAACGACATGGGCTTCGGTGCCAGCAAACCAGACCCTGACTTCCCATCAATAACGCCGGTGAGTGATATGTTAGTTACGGTTTAATAACACTGTTGATACATGGGACCTTGACAGGTCAAACATGGATATTGACTTAGCCCCTTCTTGTTGCTGAACGACTTATGTAAATTCTGTCAGAGTGAATTATTTACGCTACTATTGGCAATGTCACAACAATATAACAACGTGGACATCAAGCACAGGCTTTGTATGCTTACAGTGACGCTTTTAGAAATCAAACCCTTGGTAACCATGAGGCTATTGTTGCATTACATGTAAGATAATAAGAAGAATGTTTAGAGTTGATCAATGATTCATTTTCCTTTGTCCTGTGTCCGTCTCTGTTTTCTGTTAATCGTCCATATCAATAGTTTACTACATGCTGTCCACCTCTCTTCCTCGTGGATAGTTCTAACCTCCATGAGTTTGTGGACAGAGCGTCTGCCCTGAGAGCAGAATGTCTGTGATGCGATACGCTCGTAGGGTCATACCAAAACGGGGTTAGTTGTTGTTGCCCTGTTTGACAGTCGGAATAACGGGGATGAAAATCACATGTCGGTTCGTCGTGAGCATTGTGTGTCAGTCAGTTTTGCGTGTTAAACTGCGGCCTTGTATCGCAACACCACAAGTCTGGACTACATCGTGCAGCCGAACAGACGTGCATGCACGTCACTGAAAAGGGAAAGAATCTTGAACGCTCCCTTAAACCCTATCCACCAACAAGTAGCTAATAGTTTCCGTCTCAAATCATCTTCGGTTCAATCTGGGAATGGTTTGCTAGCCAAGCGGCTAAGCCGTTGGCTTATCACGCAGAAGACCAGATTCTAATTGTATTTCCCGTTACTGCTCACCGAGATGGCGATTTCAAAATTATGTCTATCGTCTATTACGATGACTAATTTTTATCCCATGGAAATGAGGGAAGCTTATTTTGAGTCGTCATTATCACAACTATATCGACCGTATAATGCCTTCATGACAAGGTATACCGTGGCTTAATGAAGTCAACTGGGGAACGACTAGGTTTGCCTGCCTCCGGTACAATATTTACTTAAATATACTCATGCCAATAATGATTGTCACCCCCTCCCACCCCAACCCCCACACACTTCACACCCCACCCCACACCCCTCTAAAATTTTAAAAATTGAAGGGGGTGACAACCATTATTGGCATGAGTATATATACAGTTATAAAGCACAGTAGGTATAAAGTCAGATGGACAAAGTTGGGAAAGGTGTTAGTGTTGATTGGCCATCCACCAATAACCACGTGCACTTTACATACTTTGTCTATTTGGTTTCATACAACTAGTAGCAGCATCATAATCACGTTGTACATCAACCTCCTCGATTGTACAAACTCAGTTATGTTTCATGTATATATTATCCTTGTGCATAATACTGTGCATCATTAGCTTGATAATGGTGTTAGCATTTACATCGAATCTTCACATCTATTACAATAAAGTTGTCAAACCATAACACTTCTTCCTCTCCGTCATAACAGCTCCTAGATGTCACCCAAAATTTCGCAATTGATTGTAACGATGTTTCACTAATTTTTGCCCACTGAACAGGTGAATATTCCGTTAACCTACTAAGGTAATATCTATACATGCTGACATACTGACATGCTTTCACAAAGAAGATGTGTGGCGGAAAATATCAGTATAACGTGGAAGCCAGTGTGACTAACATTAAGAAATAGATTCCATTCAAGTTTTTATGCATAAGTTTCGTGTCATTTTCTTCGTGTATCAATTCCCATCAAAGACTTGTTTTACACAAGTTCGTTCAGTCAATTTCAATTTGTCAATAATATACAGAAAGTTCATCACGCGATCGCAATTTGTTGTGAATAATACAAACCTAAACATTATACAGTCAATAAAATAGAAATATATCTGAAGAAACAAAGACAGAGAACACTCCCCTGGCTCAGACATCACACAGTTTGTATCTACTGATAACTAAACATCAGAACAATGTTGTTATCTGGCAGTCATTACGAACAACAGGGGTGTTATGTTTGGAGACTGCGGCATATGTGTCCCCTCGACATGAATCATTGCGGTTTACATGGTGTCCACATGGAGTCAACATCAGTCGACTGGTCAAAGTGAGTGAGTGAGTTTTCTTTTACGCCATGTTTAGCAATATCCCTCGATATCACGGCCGGGGACACCAGAAACGGGCTTCACACATTGTACCCATGTGGGGTATCGAACCCGGGTCTTCGGCGTGACGCGTGAACGCTTTAACCACTAGGCTAACCCTGTCAAAGTCCTCTCTTACACGTTGAACTCCTGCAGCACGATGGCATTTTATTAGCAGAGGTACGATCATATATATGCATGGACAGAATTTCGATTGTTGAAATTATTCATGCCTAAATTTAGATAAAAGCGACCTTTTAAAACTGAGAAATCGCTGATAAGCACAAAATTATGCATCAATCCGGAAAAAAATCCAATTAAAATTGTACATGGTAAAAAAACGTAGACGAGTATAATCAATCAAACTGATTTTGTTTCTGTTATATCACATATAAATCCAATATGGTCATATATAAGCGAATCGTTTATGTCCGCAAACCAGGTCAAAGCTGGCGGCATGATTCAGCTTTGAAATATCGGACCCCACAGTGCTACATTGCATGCGGAAGCTGGTAGGAGTCCACGGTGTTGCAGCGCTTAGGCGTACAAAAACCTGTCAATCCTTACTGTGAATGGTGGCGACTGGTTTTAATACCGTATCAACGATCACGCAAAATCCCCCCATTATAAGATAACAGGATTGGTCTGGATACTGTCAGCTTCACATAAAACCGTATATATTAGTAGCAGCAAGGGGCGATAACTTGTCCGTTACGCTTTGGAATGTACGGGCATGTACGTAGGGCTCGGGGACTCTACCTTCAGTTGTTGGCGATCTATAGCCCGTATATATTTTATTGGCTTCAATAGTAAATTAGTTTTAGATTTATATGCCAGTTTTAAACACCATCTGTGATAGTCTAGCTGTTTTAGGCCTTTGTTGACTTCATTTTATAATGTTATAACAAGATGTATTTATTATGTATGCAAAACGATTCCATTCACGGCAAGGCTGAAATACTGCAATGTGACAATTTACCTCAATCAGTGTGCATCACAATCACTGGTTTGGTTTCGTCTGTTCATTGGGTTTTGTTGTTATATATTAATCAGGGACGGATACAGCAAACTTTTTGAGATAGCTAAAAAGCGGGTTGCAGTCAGTGAATAGGGGTGGGGGTATTGAGCACACTATTGAGAAAAGGAGGGGTGCACATTTCATTTTCACCCGAGTTTCAATGGTCATTTAACAAATTTTAAGCACAAAGGGGTGCTCACCCACCCCACCCCACCCCACCCCTTCTGGATCCGCCTATGTTAATTATAGAAATTATCCGATATCAGCACACAGTTGGTCATTTATGAGAAAGTGAACAAAGTTTTACGCCGTTTTTAGCAATATTCCAGCGATATCACTGCGGGGGACACCAGCAATTGTCCTTCACACATAGAACCCACGTGGGGAGTGGAACGCTTCAACCACAAGGCTACCCCCACCGCCCCGTTGCGCATTGGGGCGTGGTGGGCGAGCTGGCTAAGGCGCCAGGCTAGTGATCCAGCGGGCATGAGTTGCCGGGATCGAGCCCCCATGTGACCGGGTGTAATAACCTTCGAGTCAACTTTGTGTGCAGACTCTTTCAGTGTTGTCACAACCCATAGTGTACAGTACACAACCTGTGCACTTAACAGAAACCACGAATCCGTTGGTATATCACCAGATGGTGGGCACATGAATACGTGCCTAGTTTTTAGGTACAGCAACGTGCAGTGAACTTGGACAAAGTACTGTGACTATGTCACAGGGTGGAAGCGCTGCCCTCACGAAATGTGGAGTTGCCCCCAAAGCAACTCCATTTCCTCGCTGGACAGTGAAAGAAGGACACGTGGCGCAAGAGTAAAGGTAGGTTTTTCCTCGCATTTTCATTATTTTGCAAGTATATTAGGTTTTGCCATTTGGCAGAAGGATCTAGAAAGCTACAGATCTTTCTGTAATTGCTTGACACCCTCTATATTTATTACAATTGCGCGTTAAGCGAGGGCACCCTCCTGAGTATCGAAACAAGATCGCGGAAAATGATCGTTTCAACACGAAATATGACATCCTCATCAGCAGACACACCTTTTCTTGCTGTCAATTCTTAGATAAAGTGACTTTAGGTCTTCATTCGCAGTTTAGGCTTTAATGCGGCTGTATTTTTTCAATTATCGTCGAAAAATCAATCTGTACATTTTTTATGGAGTTGTTCACGTTTAGCAACCATACTGTCCATTGCGTTGTGATTTTACTGTCGAGGAGTTGACAGTTTATGGTTTTAACCGTCAGGTGATCCAACGTTATTGTAGAGATATTTGTGTTGAAGAAGAATGGTTTGTTACTGCCTACCTGGCGTATTTATTACGATTTTTTGTCTTCAAGTACGATTGTACACCCTCACTGCAGTTGGTACCCTGTCTGGGATTTATTGGATGCAAACCTATAAAAACACATATTAATTTGTTTTAAAAAACATGCATTCGTTTCACTTCAGTTTTACTTGCCAACGTAAACACGCCATGAAACGAAGCTAAACAAGAGTGGCCTCCCTTTCAAGTCACTTTCGCGCGTACAACCGAAAGTTAATTTATTCAAAATCGTGACCGTGATGTATGTTCATTGATGATAGATATAGACAAAGTACTTCGGTAGATGTCGTGAAAATGTAAAGTAATCTGATTTTTCCTGTCTTTGTCGTCGGGTTCCCTCGTATTTTTTCCCGGTTTCTACCCATCTTATCCGATTGCTTCCCAACCAATGGCATCATGGCGGAGCGTTCATCGGGCTCATATGGACCATAGGATTCAAACATTTTACAAAATCATGTACGATCAGAAGTGTATTAACAAATATACATCTACCCCAGGAATAACCAAGACCAGGTTATTCCAAAGTATGTACATTGTTCATACTATCATTCAGATTAGTATTGCACATTCAGGTGAAGCAGATCACTAAGCATCAGAAAACCAAGGGACATCTAACCAATGTTGAATGTGCGAAATCAAATACAATAATGACGTCCTTTTTTTCCACCGGTGACACCAACAGCGATATGGACAAGTCAATGGCAGTTGTAAAAAAAATAAAGGAGAAATCCAAATGACACAATTTAATGAGAAGATGAACTTGCCGATTTTATCTGCAGACCTCCTTATGATGGCAGTCAAAACTGTGTTGAAGTTGATTGATAAACACCATTCTGGCATTCAGGAATTTTCAAATTTTCCTTCTTATAAAATAAGATTGTACACTTTTGACACATCAAAATACACTTCCAAACCGCCATGAATACACTTTGCAGACAAAGGGGGTAAGCAGGTCTGTTACTGTACATAGTCTGTGGTTATAATATATGCATTAGTTTGATATGTTTAAGTTTTCAGGAAATGAATTTCGAAGTTTAACCAGTGGACGAGTCGCATATATCCTTCAATACCAGTCGTTTGTTGTCAAGCACACCGAGAAAAAGAAGAAACAGGATGGAGGCAGAGTCAAAACATTGATTTCACAATAGTCTCGTTTCCTGCTGACTGGGGTCCGTCCTATTGCGCAACTTAGTACAATAACCAGTTCAGAAGTTTGAGACCAACTCATTCAACTGGATATATAAATATTAATCTGTATTATTTGATACATCTAATCAATTGTATATTGGACACTACTCTCCTTCTAATCCGTACCCTGTCGTACAACGTCCTATGACAAACGGAAATCTGTAAATCATGGAAATCTCAAAACGAGGTTCGGCTGCGAGAAAGGTTTGGCGGTCTTGTACGGACTTGATATTAAATAAATCACATTGTGCGTTACAAAACCACACTAAATCAGCGCAAAGAACACATAGCAGTTGTAACCAGTGAGCCAGATGAATTGTGCAACATTTTTTTACCTCATGAAACAGGGGCAGTCTGTGACGTCTTAGTTAACGTCATGCTGCCTACACCTAGCCATAAAATATAGAAATACGATTTTATAAAAGTTCATTTGAAAATATCAATTTCTTATGAAACAAGGAATTGGAATTTAGTGTAACCATAGTTGTCTGCAGTGTCTCTTTTCACTTTCACACGAGAAAATTCAGGTCGGCTGAAAAGTAGGTCATTGTCTGAATTGGTTCATGTTTCGGTTTGACCGCTGCCACATCATCGGCAAGTTCTACAAGTCTCCATTTGTCCTCAGACTGCATGTTAAAGGGATCCTTCACAACAATTACCGTTTACATTGCCAAGTCTGTGGAAAAGGGTATCAACAACTGTGGGATTTCAACAGTTAATGCTCTAAAGTCCATGCAACTACATGGACAGTTACTTCAACGTAAACATTCAAAGCAATGGACAGTTTCAAAACAACTCCATGTAAAATGTACAGTTTGATTTTCGACGATAACTGAAAAATTACCGATGCATTAAAGCCTAAACTTTGAATGAAGACCTAAAATCACTATATCTAAGAACTGACAGCAAAAAAAGGTGTGTCTGCAGATGAGGATGTCATATTTCGTGTTGAAACGATCATTATCTTTCGACACTCAGGAGGGTGCCCTCGCCGGTGTCCTCCCATTTGCGAGAACTCCCAGTTGCGAGACACATTAATTAATGGTTCAGTGCACACAAGTGGTGCTTCCCAATCCCTACGATGAAAGTGGGAACAGCCCTGTTGCTGAAGAGTACCCGCAGGAGGCATAGTTCATTAATGAGACACAGAAGACATTGTTCATTGAAGAGCATTTATTGATTTCAATAAAGAACAAGTTAAATACTGAAATACTGAAAAAGATTATCATTATATTTACACAGAAGAAATAGTTCATTAAATACTTCATTATCATTTTTTATTCACACATTTTGATGATTTGCGTTATTATGATGTTTGTGTGTCATTATAAATAACTTTTTTACATGGGTCCATATTTGGAAATTTTGACACTTTTCATATTTTCAGCAGTTTGCCGACTGCATCAAGATACTGCATGTGATTTTTCGTTCCATCTGCAAGTTGATCTTTGAGTCTATGTAGTCGATTGTCTATTTCCCTGTACACGCGTTTCCTCGATCGAGGGGCGCCTCCCAGGTCGAGTTGGCACAGCTTGGCCTTCTCTGCCTTCTCTATTTTCCTGATGATTTCCATACACCTGAAGATGTTTGGATGGCGATGACTGAGTGTAGCATTCAATTATAGTTACAACAGTTATTGCTAGATTTTTCAAGCACGTAAATCTGAGTAGGTCAATTAATTTCTCTTTCAAATGATCACGAAGTTACCTACACAAAGTGTTTATTTTTTAAAGCCATTTACCTGAGTAGGTTAATTACTTTTTCTTTTAAGCTACCTCCACAAGATTCAGTTAAATAGCTAATCCCTAATTAGCTGGGGTTAATCCATTCTATCAGATAGGGGAGTAAGGTGTGTTTTCTTTGCTCCTTACCTTCTCCACTGTCTCACAACTGGGAGTCTCGCAACTGGGAGTTCTCGCAAATGGGAGTAGACCCCCTCGCCTAACGCGCAATTGTAATAAATATAGAGGATGTCAAGAAATACAGAAAGATCTGTAACTTTCTAGATCCTTCTGCCAAATGGCAAAACCTGATATACTTGCAAATTAATGCATAGCGACGGAAAACTTACCATAACTCTTGCGCCACGTGTTCTTCTTTCACTGTCCAGCGAGGAAATGGAGTTGCTTTTGGGGCAACTCAACTTTTCGTGTGGACAGCGCTTCCACCCTGTGTGTGTGTCCCAGTCCACCCAGCTATGAATGGGTACCTCGTAAGGAGTCCACCCAGCTGCGAATGGGTACCTCCTAAGGATGGGAAAGCCGCAATAACTCGATCGGTGCGCCTTGTGGCAGCAAGAGTTGTATGATCCACATGGAGTTACATTAGTGCGTGGATATGTGCGCTATATAAATATCCAATAATAAAAAATTTAAAATAGTGTTGATATTTCATGCGTTTTCTTCATTTTTCATTAAAAATAGAATTGGGTTGTATATAAAATAACCTACTGGAAATTCGGATTTTCAGATTGTCTGCCGCCCTTGATTCACACGGGATAGGAGTCTGTATCCACTTAGTTATTTACGAATTATTGTTCTCTGCGTTACATTTTGGCTTTAGCAGTTGAAAGATTATTTTTGTGTGCAGATATTGGTTCCTCGGACACTGAAAGGTTATCCTGCTCCAAAGCCCTCCAGCTTGAAGAAGTGCGATTTGGTCAAGTTTGAAAGTTTCTTGACCATTGATGCCAGGTCGAATTTGGTAAGTACATGTGTTCTCCGGGGTCATAAACTGAGCAGCTTATTCTCTCATTCGTGACCTGATAGATGCCACGAAATCATCCTCACAATATCGACCGTGTACAATTCATTTACTCACCTGGAATAGTGATAAGTAGAGATAAAAGTCAGGATATTTACACAGGCTATAGGAAGAGAGAAAGTAGTGGGCAACACGGAAAGACAGACAGAAAATAACAACGAGTATATACAAATGTGTGTGTGAAATCATGTTCCTCTTGAAGCATCCATACAATCGTCAACACCAATTCAACAACCAGTTAGAGTAGTATGTAAGATTTCAGACAAATGAGTGAATACGTTAGGTCTACTGCCGCTGTTAACAATTTCCCAGAAATATCATAGCGGTGGACACCGGAAATTGGCTTCAGACACTGTACCCACGAGGCGAATGAAGCCTGGGTCTTCGGTGTGACAAGCGAACGTTTTATCACCATCCTGTCCCCAAACAGCAGGTAAAATAGAAACGAGAAAACTAACGGACTGACAGAAAAGAAAATGCAATAGAACTAACAATAGAAATTACAATACACAACAATAAATACGACAAAATATTTGCATACCCGCGAAGATCCGGTTAGAGTTGGTCTTCAGCAATCTATGCTTGTCGTAAGAGGCGATAAATCTACGATCGGGTGGTCAGGCTCGCGGACTTGGTTGACACATGTCATCGTATCCCAGTTGCTTCGGTCGACTGGACTGCCTGTTCCAGGCTTGATCATTTACACAGCGCGCCATGTAGCTGGAATATTGCTGAGTGCGGCGTTAAACAACAAATGAACAAACAAACAAACCTGTGCGAGTTATGCTATGCTGATACTGATACATAGCCAGATGACAGCGACTGGTATACTTGAATTGTGCCCTCACTTTACATAACGCTGAACATGTTCCGCTTGCAACACAGTAGGGACCCTTTCTGAATGGCACCATCTCCAGTTAGGTCCCACACAAACATCCCAATCAGGTGTTGAGTAGTATATGTGTGATGCATGTATTCTGCAGATCATTGTGAGTGACGACACGACCTATGGTCAGCTACAGGCTTCCCTGACACGCGGTCTTGTCTCAGACTTGGACAAGGTGCGAGCCATCTTCACCTGGTTGGGTAGCCAGCAGATCTATCAGAGCTACTACCCTGGAGTCGTCGACCCCATGACCCCCAGGGGCTACATGAAGCTCATCAAGAAAAACCTGGGCACCTATACTGAATTCTTCACATTGCTATGCAGGTGCGTGCCGTTCAATACTGAACCCCACATTCCGGTCAATAGTTGTTGATAAATAAAAGAGACAAGATCCTTAGCCAAATTATTTTGGCCGAGGATGGACATTGCCAGTCCTAGCAGACATTCTCAATGATATGCATGAACAAACAGATCCGCATGAAGTGGGGCACTCCTGGGATATCTACTTCTTATTTAAATCATGGATGCGGAACTCACACATAATCACAAGTTATTTTCTCCGTAAACCCCAAATTACATTTAGTTATTTTTTGCCAAATTGTCATGAACACCTGAACATAATATGTGCTGTATCTGTGCTCACCACGTTTTGCCTGTCGATACCGCCATGTGAGATCGAGTTAACCAAACAATTGCACTCAAAATTTATATTTCCGTAAAGCCATCTCATCCGGGTTAGAATTGATTTTCAGTAACCCATGCTTGTCGTAAGAGGCGACTAACGGGATCGGGTGGTCAGGCTCGCTGACTTGGTTGACACATGTCATCATATCCCAGTTGCGAAGGTCGATGGTCATGCTGTTGATCACTGGATTGTCTGGTCCAGACTCGGTGATTTACAGATCATCGCCGTATAGCTGGAATATTCCTAAACGCGCCGTAAAACTAAGATCACTCTCATCAGTAACGATGTGATTGCAACGTAGAGAATAAGGTCGCTGTTATTGATTATTTACGAAAGTCAGCAACTACTCTGTTGTATATGTGGAGAAACGCATCAGTCAATCGTGCGCGTTAATTCGTGTAAAAGTACAGGGCACATTATAGTGTCATTATAGGGCAAATCGACTGTTTTCACACTCTTACAGCTAATGATGAGTGACAGACATAAGTACCTAAATCGTCACCTTCAGTAACTATTGAAGCTTCTGAATCAATGGCATACACCATGGGTAATATCCACCCACTCATCACTGTACTCGAGGACTGAAGGCACATACATGATAGGTTGTCATAGATTTGTATGATTAACTACCGTACTTTACAAAGATGTATGGGGTGTTCATGCATACATGTGGTAGGACATTGTCCGGTGTATCGAAATCATATACCCATGTAGAAATTCATGTTGGTAATTATATATATTGTAGGCCAGAAACGCTTGGACATAGCTTTCTTCAATCCTGAGAGTGGGTGAGTGGGTATGGTTTTACGCCGCTTTTAGCAATATTCCAGCAATATCACGGCGGGGGACACCAGAATTGGGCTTCACACATTGTACCCATGTGGGGAATCGAACCTGGGTCTTCGGCGTGACGAGCGAACGCTTTAACTACTAGGCTACCCCACCGCCTCCTCAATGGTGAGAAGGAGCTACTGACCGTGAGTGGGGTTATGTATAAACCAGTTATCTTTGTGTTTCATTCAGAGCCGCAGACATCCCCTGTGTAATGATACGTGGACGATGTAAGAGTGAGGATTACGAGGCAGGAGAAGAAATTCCTGCTCGCATGTCCTCAAACTGGACGGCAGTCTTTGTGGATGGAATATGGCGTACCGTCCACCCATCTAGAGCCTACACGGGGATCAACCGTAGAACCCAGACCAACACACAGACGACCAGTCAAGAACTTCAAGAAATAGACAACCATGAAACCATCAACAATAACGATGACAACGTTGTTGATGAATTTTTCTTCCTCCCAGATCCGGAAGAGTTTGTGTATTTCTGTTTGCCGGAGAAACCCGAATGGCAGCTTCTCCAGAAGACTTGGACATTGGAGGACTTCTATGATGCACCACATTTCCACAGTGGTTACTTCTCGTCAGGATTGATTCTTTCTAGTGAAAGTGCATGTTCATTGACTTCTAAAACGGGGATGTGCCACATCAAGTTTAACCACAAATTCGGGACAGATGCAAACGTCAGTTATATTCTGTTTGTGAAGCAGAACCTCAGTGGGAGAGTCCTCAACAACTCGAAACTCGAAACTTACGTTTGTAAGGACGCCAAAGACGATCACATCAACATATACGTCCGCCTCCCTGTCATGGGCGTGTACAAACTTGTCATATATGGAGGACTAACACACATGCTGCATCCACTTGTAGAGTTTCGTCTAGACTGCTTTGAAAGAAACGTGATCAATAATCCATTTCCGATCCGTTCCTCTATTGGTTTTGGTCCTGGACAACGTTCTGTTGGTTGCGGACTTCAGTGTGTATCACATCCGGATGGAATTGTGCCAATACGTCCAACGAGGTCGGACATCTTTGATTTCCACCATACTTATCCGATGGAAGTAGAAGCGGTTCTACGTCATCACGCATTACAGGAAGGTGAACTCAGAGCATGCGTGAAAAAGATGATTGACAAAAATCGTGTCGTTTTCCATGTCAGTGTTCCTGAAGATGAAATAGATGATGATGAGTTCGCTCTTCAGGTGTTCGTAAGGATGCCCCACACTAATTACACCCTGGTCAACGTCCTGAACTTTCTCCTCACAGAGCACCCGGAAACGTATGAGATAGAAAACGAGGTAAGTAGTGCCTTGTGTCGGCGAGTGTTACTGGCTCCTGTAGTAACATCAGATTACAAGGAAGACACGGTGATCAATGAGTGTGACCTCACTGAGTGTGTCTTCAAGCCCCGAAGGTGTGGATAGGTATTCATGCTCTCAACCACTCGTTTGCCGAAGCTTGATTATTCACAGTTCGCATTGACGAATGGTACTTAATTTTTAAAGAGAACTGGGGTTAAATTATTCAATTTAAATATGGCTAGTTGTATTTGAAATGGGCTGTAGTTGCTACTAGTTCTTCCTATATGATATGGGTGACTTTCTAATATTACAAGGGGCGGTGGGGTAGCCTAGTGGTTGAAGCGTTACCTCATCATGCCGAAGACCCGGATTCGATTCCCCACATAGGTACAATGTGCGAAGCTCATATTTGAAGAATGGAACCAGGGTCTTCAGCGAGCGAACGCTGTAACCACTAGGCCACCCCGCTGCCCCCCTTCATGTGTTGGTCTAGATTACTATATGTTGTTATCGTAAGTGTTACGATGTATAGCATTGTCTTGTGTTCAGTCCACGCACGACGGGAAATGTGTTCTGGATCTGGTGAACCAGGAACATCTGGAACATCTTCGGGCAGCACTCGACAAAGCCGACTGTGACACAAACTGGTCCAATGTCAACCTAGCCGAGGATATGACGATCTGCCTTAACAACAACAGTCAAGGTACGTGTAAATAGCCATTCCTGTTGGTGTCTGTTCACTGTCGGGATCATGCGCGGGGAATGCATTAACCATCCTTGTATCAAGAGCCTACTTTAGAGGATCGGCTGGTCAGGCTTTGCGAGTTTGCTGATTGGGTGTCTTCCTGGCATGGTGACGGGGAGCGTTTTCAGGCACGTCATGTTCAGATTTGATTATTAAGGTGATAAATCTGGAATAGTGCATTTTACAAATCACCCACTCACTTGCTTGATCGCTCTTTAGGTCATAAGTAGGGTACAATGTTCAGTGTTAGTAGACTTTTAAATGTTACTGTTGCTCTCGAGTGAATGAATGTCAGTAATATTCAGCTAGTGTCGCCTGTGCATAAATTGCCGTCTTTGTCGTCCACAGTAAACCGCATCGCATGTCGTAAACACATGCTATATGTTATGGAATTAAAGGTTCCGATTTATCAACTAATGTTGAATGTTTTAACAGGTTGGGCATCAAAAGAGGAACGATATGTACGGAATCATCTCTCTAGTGCCATGAACAACAGAAATAGGAAAGAATTGGAAATCGCTCTCCGTGGACTACAAAATCACGGTCATCTGAATCTCAGCCTCAAGCCGGAAATGGCCGTACTTGCTCTGTTATACGAGGAAGGTATATATCCTTGTTTTGTGACATAACAAATAGGCTGGGAGGATCATGTAATCGCATTGTCAGTGTATTCGGAACAAGGTGGAAGAAATCCTATTTATGCGAATGGTCTTAACTGTAAAATACATTTTGAATTTCTTTAACACATTAAAATTAGTACTCAGTTGAAGGAAGTGTTACTCTCATTTCACAATTAAGATACTGTTGTACGTTAGCAACTGCCTAACGAGTACAAGGTTGCTTCTTGATAGTGCATAAATAGCCGTCGCAATATACCTGTTGTCAGAGGATCTAGCGTTTTGGAAAAGTACTATTTGATAGCCGTCAAATTTGTTAGGACGTATGCCTGGTATAAATTATGAGAGCTCGACGACAGGAAAAAACTGCACTCGTGACCCAACACATTCTTTTGAAGTTCGTTTACTACAATATTGATAACACGATCGAATGGCAATAGTCTTAATATGCATCCTCATAGTAACACCTTTGCCTATAACATATTATTTATGTCCTGTACCTTCAGATGTCCTTATTTCACAGAAATCCAGAAAAGAAGGTCTGTCAACGATCTGGACAACTTAATGAAGACGATCGCTGAATCCAGTCAGTCTGTAGTCAGTGACATCCTGGAATCTTCCCCGGTAGTGCAATCAGCCCGAGACTTTCTGAGTCGACAGTTACGTGTGAAGCAATATAATATGGTCATGCAAACGCTGACATCACAGACTGTGGCCGATGTGGCAGACTGTGAGCGTCCTAATAGCATCTGCTTTGTGGTCTTAAGGTCAACGTACCTTCTACTGGGAGAGGAACTGCCATTGCAGGTATGTCGCCTGAAGCAATAACGTATCTTCCGTTTCGTTCCCTTGGGGCTGGACAAGGCTATCGCAGGAAACTGCCATCGGCTATTACAAACTGTCCTTTTTTTTTCTTCTGTAGAGATGGTCTGATGTTCGACACCTGCTTCGGATCAAGGGACATAATAGTCTTATCAGCAGGATAAGCCGCTTCAGCCTGGACGCCCTTAGTAATGAAGTCAGCAATGAGGTCAAGGACGCGCTTGTTAAGTTCACGATTGAAGAGGTCAAGGCCACGGGATCAGCGGTTGCAGCTTTTTATCTATGGGTTAGTCTAAAGATTTGATTGAAACTTATTTATTTAGAACTGACTGACTGACTGAGTTTGGTTTTACGCCGCTTTTAGCAATATTCCAGCAACATCACGGCGGGGGACACCAGAAATGGGCTTCACACATTGTACCCATGTGGGGATTCGAACCCGGGTCTTCGGCGTGACGAGCCAACGCTTTAACCACTAGCCTACCCCACCGCCCTATTTATTTAGAAAGTAATTTCGGCACAAGATATGTATATTTTGTGGGGATTCCCCTTCCTCTACATGTTCTTACAATAAAGTATATCGTAAATATGCACTTGTAATGAATGAAAACAAAAATGTGCCTTGATACACATACATGCAGCGTACAAAAGGAGTGGAGTCGAATATGTAAGCATGTTAAATGAACGATGATATCATTATGTAGTTTGAAAAGGCCTGACTCTGATCGTTCCGTCTTTTCTTCATTAACCTGACTTGCCTTGATGTAAATGGAATGTGATAAAAGCGGTTTCAACCACAGCTCACTTTAATTGATCTGAACTCAACGAATACCGTCGGTAACAACTGAACCTTTGGAAAATTCTACAAGATGACTCATGTGGAATGCTGTCGAAATTTGATAAAATGTACACGTTCGTGGAGGATCATGAGTGTTCAACTTTATTGTAATGAGAAATGTGTCATTTGAACAACCATGAAACCTAAGACATTCCAACAAATCATCGCTGTGTTTTTGCCATACAGTGGTGTGTTACTTGTATTTCATGTCGTTGTCCGTTAGAAACTGATTAATAAACATTAATTTATCTATGAAAGTGCCTCAAGCTTTCCCTTCACTCATCTTTTAATTCAATTACACAGACATTCAACACTGTGTAGAAACTTTATAAACTGATTGAATCTAACATCAAGATTGATTGTATCTGGATTGAATCGGGAAGGTGGTATACTCCCAAAGGAGCTGGGAATAAAAATACATGCTCACTAATGCATTGACGTGCGCAATACCAATGTGGTGCTTTGAGCATTAAAATGGTGTAAGGAAATACACCTATCAAACAATCAAGGTGTTTAAGCAAGTCTACTCACCTGCTCACAAAATATGCTGTAATACATGTCTTAAAATGCACTGATGTGTGAAACGTTTTAGTATGAAAGTTCAAGTTAGTTGTCTGGACCATCTGTTTGGTAGATTGTGCAAAGTCTATTTACAATTTTCAAAGCCCTCACCAAGACGAGGGGCGGTGGGGTAGCCTAGTGGTTAAAGTGTTCGCTCGTCACGCCGAAGGCCCGGGTTCGATTCCCCACATGGACTCAATGTGTGAAGCCCATTCCTGGTTTCCCCCGCCGAGATATTGCTGGAATATTGCTAAAACAGGACATGGTGTTGGTCGTAGAGCAGATGTTCTTGGTTTATCGACCTTAGGTGTCTACTATGCATCTTTGTGGATGGTGGCTAAGGTCATTATGAGTTTGTTTGCTATATACTCACTGGTCTGGTGCCCATTTGTGGTGTCCACCGCCGTGATATTGCTGGAACATTGCTAAAAGCGGCGTAAAACTAAACTCACTCACTCACCAAGACGAGTTCTGCAAGATCCATATTGATTGAAAATTGACACTCTACCATAAATAACTTATCATGAGGTATCAAACCACAATAATCACCACTGCCGAATACCACTGAGATGGTGTTAGATGTGATGAGGTATATGTTATTTCAGTAGTGTTACTAATGAATCATTAATATTCCAATGTGTTGCTTATTCTTGGCCAATCCGTATCTTAGGTTTTGTCAAATGTAACTGGTTGCAATATTTAATCATTTTCTTTTGTGCGCAGCGAATGGTCGGTTTTTTTTTAGGTTGGTGGGTTTTTGTTTTGTTGTTTTGTGTGTTTCGTAATTTTCGTTTTAAATTTTAATATATTTCATTTAATTTGATCAGTTTCCATTGTGTATTGGTATTTCTTGGTGTGTTTGGTGTTTGTTTGTATTATGGAGCTAGTGAAAATTTATAACTTTACACTTTCTATTGCAGGCACTGGGGGTCGTGATGGAAGTCAGATGAAGAGGACACTTACAAGAAATGTACAATAGATCAATAAAACATTATCCTGTCACTGACAACGCTGTTTCACTTATTTATGTCACAGTTGCACGGTAAAAGTTGAACTTGAAAATAGTTCTACGGATGTACAACACCTTTAAATATATGCATACAATGACATAATGATTGTTTAGTAATGAGTGAGTGGTAAGAAGTTGGGATTCAAGAAAGTTTGTCTCTCTGTATTCGATACGTATGTTGTCCCAGTGGTGTTATATTAAGGTCTGGTAGGGCTGCCATCAGAGACGGCGGAGTTAGAGTCTCTTCTCTGTGATGAGGTTTGATATTCTATAATTCTTACTGGTAGAGGCCTTGATGTGCCCCAACATGACTGACTGACTGAGTTTGGTTTTACGCCGCTTTTAGCAATATTCCAGCAATATCACGGGGGGGACACCAGAAATGGGCTTCACTCATTGTACCCATGTGGGGATTCGAACCCGGGTCTTCGGCGTGACGAGCCAACGCTTTAACCACTAGGCCCCAACATGAGAGTCACCACAATCGCATATAATGTGGTAAACTGCAGCGGTCGGGTCGCCTGGTGTTTTTGAAGATCTGCAATATTAGGCTTTGAGAACGTTCTGGAACTTTTCCTCTCTGGAACATTGCTTCGATCTTGGTTTGGTGTTCAGGAGGTCGCTGATGTGATTGCAGTCGTACCTGCGTAGGGTGACTAGTCTGGCAGGGTTGTAGGTTTGGAAAACATGTCGTAGATGTCTCAAAGCAGGGGTTCCTGGCTTATCAAGCTTTGGTGGGTTGGTGGATTGGTGAGCGGTAAAGGGCAGTATAGGTTTGTTTTCTATACTCTCTGGTATGGAGTTTGTTGGTTTCTTTCTGGACTAAGACCACGGAACGATAGCTGGTTGTCATTTTCTTCTGCATCCGAAGGGCATAAAGGTGACTGAGAAGGATGTTTGAATCAGCCTCTGGATTCGCGGTGACGAAAGCGACGTCGTTTCTGTACCAGTAGAACGGGATGATGGGGCTATCTTGAGGGCTTCATCCTCCATCTTCCATCACAGTTCGTCTCCTTGTCCGCCCAAAAAACACTGCCCACCACAACACTATTTAGTACCTTTCCTTCATCCTAGCGTCCCTCCCCGTGTGCTGACCTCCAAACCCCAGGTGTCACTTAAAATTTCGTCTAATTTCCTCTGCAACCTGATTACAGATTCCGACACTAAGACATTATCATCAGCAAAAGCAACATTTGTATTTCATTAAAAATAATTGTCCAAAATGTCGTCTGCTACGATACTATCAAAATATGTAGCAAGTTGATTTGTAAAGCATATAAGAACGGTGGGTTCAACATACAGTTATTTCGGACGGTGGTAACTATAGGTGTCTGAAATGTGTCATTTCTAAGAGTTCTCATACAATCATTAGAAAACCATACATATCGCTTAACATTACAAGAAATATGTTATATTGGACATATCCTCAGAATCAAAAGCTTTCTTGATTGTGGGCATGTTCTTACGAAAGACTGTAAAACAAATATATTATTGCTATTTGAATAATCGTGTTTGAAACCGGTTTAAGGTTGCTATTATAACGTTGTTGACTTCTAATCACTGACAGTCTACTTTCAATAATACGTGTAAATTTGGTTAAGTATTGGTTAAGTGGTTTCTAATCACTGACAGTCTACTTTCAATAATACGTGCAAATTTGGTTAAGTATTGGTTAACTGGTTACGTACAGCTGAACACCGTAGTACCAAACACATTCCAAGAGTGAGTGAGTGGGTTTACTTTTACGCCGCTTTTACCAATATTCCAGCGGGGGATACCAGAAATGGGCTTCACACATTGTACCCACGTGGGGAATCGAACCCGGGGAATCGAACCCGTGCCTTCGGCGTGACGAACAAAGACTTTAACCACAAGGCTAATTCAGCAATAAGAGCAGACTTATCCGAGGGTTGGACACATCTGTTTATCAATGTCATCCACTAAACAGATGATATCGTATTGAAAGGTTCATTTTGAGTAAGTATCAGGGAGAAAAGGAGTGAGTGAGTTTAGTTTTACGCCGCACTCAGCAATATTCCAACTATATGGCGGCGGTCTGTAAATAATCTAGTCGTGGACCAGACAGTCCAGTGATCAACAGCATGAGCATCGGTCTGCGCAACTGGGAACCGGTGACATGTGTCAACCAAGTCAGTGATCCTGACCACTCGACCTCGTTAGTCGCCTCTTACGACAAGCATGGGTTACTGAAGATCAATTTTCTAACACGGACCTTCACGGGTGGGAGAAAAGGAAAGACTGATTGAATGTGAGCAGTTTCACGCACGTTCGGTTTCCATTGTCTTGTACTTGCATGTTTCATTTAGAGAAAGCAAAATAGTTTCCAAACAACAACAGTTTAAACTATGAAGGATGATATAATGACCGGACAGCTGCTCTCAGACAGAAATCGGCACATCACACGTATCTGTAATTTAAGACTAGTGTTGCTTTGCTAATAACAGTGTATTATAGGAACCCAGTGACAATGTGTGGCCTAGATTGCAGTTTGACCAGGTCCTCCTTTACAGGTTGATGTTTTCCTGGCTATTCGTATCTCGTATAATGAACAATGTAAATAAGTTTATGAGGTTATTTGTTTGAGAAGCGCCCATAAAAAGAGTAATTTAACATGGTGGCCTTGCGCATCTATCGTGTAGCAATTCATATTCACTCTTTGGCAATAACAATAATAACATGTATATTACCCATCAAAAGTTTAGACTCACTTAAAGCACTCACTATGTGTTATGTTTATATGTATGGTTACATCGAAGATGAATTTCTCCACTAACTTGGGGAAACCAACTGCAAACCTTATGCAGATGAATTGCACGAGGATCATGCATCAAATTGCTGTAAAGCATGTGCAAATATCATGCATGTGAACAGCTGCGTTTTGGTGTAAAGTTTGTTACGAATTCGTCAATTTTCACTGAGTTTCATCATTTATTGAACTCATGACAATCTTTTCAACGTTACAAATGTGTTTTATACATCAGTTCATGTGTAAACAGTACCTTTAAACAGTATGGAAAGTTTTGCAAAATTTATTTTAGAACTGTTGACTTAAGTAAATGGCTACATTTACACTAGTGAGTCTAAACTGTTGATGGGGAGTATATAAACTAAAAGTATGTGAGCTGTACATTTTCAGAACTAAGTGTGTGTGAGTTTGGTTTTACGCCGCTTTTAGCAATATTCCAGCAATATCACGGCGGGGAACACCGGCAAAATGGGCTTCACACATTGTACCCATGTGGGGAATCGAACCCGGGTCTTCAGCGTGACGAGCGAACGCTTTAACCACTAGGCTACCCCACCGTCCCTCAGAACTAAGTAATTAGCAATCATTATTCGTAGTGCTTCTTCTTACATCAAGGGGTATTATATATTTTGTTTGTTAGTTGTTGAACGCCACACTCAGCAATATCACCGCTTTATGACCCTGGTTTGTAAATAACCGAGTCTCGGCCAGACGGTCGAGGGATTGAGATCATGAGCATCGATTAACGCAGTTGGGATACGATGACGTATATCAACCAAATCAACGAGCATGCCCACGCTATCCTGTTAGTCGCCTCTTACAACAAGCATAGACTGCTCAAGACATTCTAACCAAGATCTTGTATAATAAATGTTGTTGTTTATTTATTATTGCTGGAGTGAAGACGTTATAGAGACTATATATACTTTATAGTTGATATATAGTTGTTTACGCCAAGATTTACCAAACATAGGGAAGTGAGTGAGGGTGGGATGGAGTGGAGGTGTGTGTGTGTGTGTGTGTGTGTGTGTGTGTGTTTTCCTGCGTTTTGTCCACACTGTTTTACTGATGATATATATATTTAAACAATGGGTAATGATATCATGAACAGAAGAAATGAAAAATTGCTGGTAACGAGGACATTTCTGGTAAATACATATGGTGTATATATATATATATATGTATGATCAAAGCACGTCAGAAAGTAAACAATCAACTTCTCAAGTCAAATTCTTTCTGTGCGTGCTTATAATCATATTCTGTCTCGCTTTGATGCCCACGTGTATTTAATTACAACTTAAACATTATATAACAGCTTATGCACTCGCTTGTGTCGTCAGTGCACATATTTGATTATGTTTTGCACTTGTTCCCGGTTCCACTATGAATAAGATTTAAAGTGTATAGTTTGGTTGTGTTGCTAATTAGAATGCGTTGGCCCCTTTCCACTAAGCGATCTTAGTGCTATATTTGATGTGTACCTTAACAAAACCATTACGGTCAAGACAACAAAAATGGAGGCGGATCAAGAAACGCGATAGGCCTGACGATCAGTTAAATGTCTGCACCATCGTTCAGGAAACCTACGTCTGCCTGCTGATGAGAATTTGCACGAATTTGCACACTTTTGCACATGTGCAAAATCATTACCAATTGATGACAACAAATAGCAGTTTAAGACTTTGCAAGTGTTATAAACACGGACAATTCTTGTAACTACAAAATTGTTTTTGCTTCACGTTTTTTAGTCACTACTAGGCATTGAGTTGGTACGCCACAAAGCTCAAAAGACAGGCGAAAGCCGTGACACAATGTAAACAAATTTTTCATTTCGGTTAGAGTTCAACCGAAATAGCAAAACATGTTACATGAAAGAACAATGTGGCGGATATTGTCCCCTTCGCTCTTAGATATTCTTCAATTTGTCACACATTTTAGGATGCTTAAGTTTCATAAGCACAATCTGAAGGCCTACAGTATCTTGTTAACAGAGCAAAATATTCGATGAGTAATATTTTTATTCAAACGGAAATATTGTCAGTGTCAGCAGTTGCCTATCATGCAATATCAAGTATCAAAATTAGTTCATATGAGTGCCTATAAAACCATGCTTTAAATATTTCAGATTTTTTATAAAGAATTGCATGGGACTTTGACCTGAATTACCATCCTCCAGGTTGATCGAATACGAAAACTATGTGAAGAAGAATAGTGACTTTCTGGAGTATTGGACAGGAGTGAAATAAAGTATATATCTTAATTATGAGAACATTATTTGAAGTTTTGTTACCACATAAATTATTCACATATAATGGTACATTTTAGGAGTAATATTACAACTGTAATTTTGATTAATTCACTGGAAATGATATCAAGGTACATGTTTTTCAGAATCTTGCTTTTTTAGTAAACGTGGAAGGAAATAAAATTAATAATAATCTAATCAATAATAAATAATTATTTAATTGATTGACATATCAGATTTTAGATTTTAAAGGCAGAACTAGGCAAACAAACACCATACATATCAAGGCAGGACAATCACTTGGTATTAACTTAGTTTCTTGGCTCCTGCTTTTAGATGTTTTTTAAAATACTACATTTACTAATAAAATAATTCTGTAAGTGATTGCTAGTATCATAACTCATTAAAGTTATTTCAACATCAGAATATTTGAAAAAGCAAAGGCTACATTTTGGTCAAACCCTGGACAGGCATTATCTAGTCCTGGAACAGAATAACTTTCAAAAATCTCAGGTGACTTTTCATGTAATGGAATAAAGATTGAAACATATATTAAACCCACATTTGATGTAATTCTTCTGATTAATCATAAGTTTTTTAGGAGGTTACTACTATTTGAAGACTGAGCCAAAGCTAGTGTTTATTAAGATGGTGGATTTGGACAAATTGTTCAAGGTTTGTTGATGGTTATTTGCAAAATGAGCTTCATATTAAATTACACCACAGATTTTGTAGGAGGTGAACGCTTCAGGACATTTTCATGTCTGTTTCCTAAACCTTTGTTATGACTTTTACCAAATTTTGAATCAACTTTACTATAATTTTTATGACACCAGTAATTATCTCAGAAAGGAAATAGATCAAAATCAGTGTTATGTCCTCTAGGGATATGGTCTCAGATCTAATAAAACAAAGATTATCATTGTTTAATTAAGAAGCAATAATTGTATTGACAGAAGGCTTTGAACACAGGATATATTCTTTTGCACCTTATTTACACTAGTAGTTAGCAGTTAAACATCTCTGATGAAAAACAATAGATCTACATTTGTATTTTGTGTAACATTCTATTTCAATGCTAGTTAATTGTTCCAATAACTGTGGATTCTCTGTTCCACATGTTTCTATTTCTGGAAGATGGGTCAGCTAGTGTACAGGTGCAGACTGTATCTTGGATCTTCTTTGTGTTCTGGTGCTGTGACATACCTGTACATAAACGCTGGCAGTTCATGAAGTCCAGTATTGTGGAAGTTTGTATGTAAAATTAAATTCCACAACAATGTACATATAGAAAAATTAAATGGAAATGATGATTAAAAATGATTTCCTTATATTCAGTGTCATTTTATCATGGTGTACAGAGAAACTCTACTGAGAGTTGCTGCAGATCAACTGTTGAATAGTTGCTTCTGGGTATGTCCAGATACGTCCATGGAAACATATTGTTTACAAGCCCAATTACCTTTTCAGATTTCCAAATAAGATCAAAAAAGGTTATGCTGTGATTGATTTGTTAACATTAATTGTACAGACAAATAAGGTGCATGAAGTAGTAGACGGGAAATATTTTCTGCTTTTTATTTACCATTCTCTTAATTCATTAAAAGATAGAAACCCATGTTTTCAGATTATTGAACTAAACTTGAAAAACACAAACGGATAAGTAAAGGCGCCACGCGCAGTGTTGATAATCTATTTATAGATACCGAAAAGATGTGCTAGATGCTCGCCAGTTGTAATCTGCCAGCTAAAATATATTAAAGATCACATACGTATAACTTGCCTCTTTAAATAACATTCACAAACGACGGATACCAAAGTATCACAAGCAGAATTCATCAACAACGTTCGCAATCACGTAACGTTTCGCCGGCGGTGACGCCATTGTGATTTGCCAGTGGTTGTCCCCCCTAACGTCAAAAACGAAGTGGGCGGGGCTTATCGGCCGAGACTGGATCGGTCTATTTAATGCGACCATAACTGCTATATCTTTGTCATAGACTCACAAGCACGGTCTAGGTCTAAATTCATTTGTCTAACGGCACCCTGCGTGCACGAGTGATCTCCATGAGTATATGAAGAAAATGCATGCACATACACTCTTTTTCATGGTAGGCCTATTTACTGATATCATTATCGCCTGTGTCAATATTTTTACAAAACAGCACGTGGTTTGCTGGCTAAAATGCAATTTATTTTCATTCATCTGGTCTGTAAAGCCCCTAGCACATTATCATAAGATCTCATCAACAGAACTAATTACTAGTATTCGGTTTGTATGTGAATATCTTAACGTGTTCAAAGTTATTCTATTATTTAGCTAACAATATATCTAAACTTGTCCGGACTCGCCTGGTCATTCAATCGGGGGTGAAAAGTCACGTGATTCGAGCAGACGCTAATGTCGTTACAGAAGTTGTCATTTGCTTCGCTTAGAACTAACAGTGATTATTCATTGTCCGATGTTACTATATAAGATGGGGTTTGTGATAGGAATATGACAACGTAATTGAAATTATTAACGTTTGTGTATATGCATATGTCGCAAACATACTAAACAGTTTCCGGCAGAGTCGTTGAAGTTGTTTACAAATGGAGGATAACTCGCTATCTTGCAAGTGGTTTCGACTGAATCCTACACAGCCAGCGTAAAATTGGTAATTAAGCGCATGTTAGACATATTGTTATCATATGATATCAGAATGGTCAATAAGTTCATTTTCGATTAAGTATCAGCAGAGACTATATTATATTATGGTCTCTATTATCAGTTTCAAAGTGTGGGTAACGTCATAGATGTACACGGGTGACATTTATTTACACATATGTGTGTGTTTTTTGTTTGTTAATAATTTTACATTGTTATGAAATGTTTTAAATATAAATTGCCAAAACAACAAAAATAATAAATGCATGACAGGTTTTATGGATAACAACTTCTTTTTATTCGTTAATATATGACGTTGCAGAGCAGACGTTCTTCAGGTGAATGAAAACAATTATAAGAAACCCTATTGTTGCCTTGTAACGATTCAAGGGTGCTGGTCAAAAACTCAGGCATCCTCATGCTTTAACTATAGTTGTTCTGGACAAAACTGTACTTTATTACACAAAACATGGGGGGTAGAGCGAACTGTATTTCCTAATTGAAACCATCAAAACTTTGGTATATTTGGTAAAAAGTGTACATCATTCTAGTATTTAGTAGTAAAATGTGTTTCTAATTTATCATTGTATTTTTCTTCACATTTAGTTTGCATGGTCATAAACAACAAATATTCACTTCGTTCTTATTCATGAGTTATTTGTATGTCATCAATATTTTCTTTTTCTTTGAAAGTACAAATGTTCATCAAACAGTTTTACATCCAGATTTTGTTTGATTGTTATATCATAACGTTGTGATGCAATATCAAGTTGGTCATTTTAACTTAATAACATTTTTACATTTTGCCCATGCTAAAAAAGCATATCTGCCCAATCCTTTTTATATGTTATTTGCTTATAACCAGGGACTTAAAATAGTGATCAAATTCATTGATGTTGAAGGCCATCCTTGAATTGAAAGAATACACTTAGGATTTGACACAAAAACAATAAGTTGAATATACATGCTTGATCATGTTGATGAGATGCCATGGATTTATTTTTCATTATTAGCACCATGCAGATTGGTCTTTGTATGTGTTAAACCAATAAGTGAAAAGATAACATGCAGGAGATTGGTACTCGCTCAAGTGTGAACTTTGTTGTCATAAGCTGTAGGGATTATGGGGTGTATCTTTTTGTTGTTGTTATTTAATACCTGTCACATCTTGTACAAGCATGGGGCATCCAATCATCCGTGACTAGTCTCCTCCTATGGATTATGAACGGGTATTTAGTGTACAGCTGGTCATGTATACACTGGTGTAGAAGCTAAGCACGACAGGGTTCACTGATCGCTCAGACTCAATATTTTTTACGCTTCATACATCATCTATGATTCTCTGTCCTCCTGTTGGCGATATATAGCCTATTTTTATATTGTGTTGTCACCTATAGTTCAAATATTTTAGATTTAATTACTAGTTTTACATGTATATCTGTGATATTCTAGTTGTTTTACTGTCCTTTGTAGGCAGGTTGTATAATCTACATCTATTCCATTTCAATGTATAATGTTCACGTCACGATATGGCTGAAATATTGCCGATGTGACGTTAAATATTAACTCACTCACTCACTCTGTCCTCCATTAGTCATTGCTGTGCATACCTTACAACACTTCTTCAAATCTACTGAGTATTGATCACACTGATGGACATGTCAATGTTACATCAATGTTCCAGTGTTAAGTATGATACTAATTAATAATCTTTTGGTAGTGTTAATGTTTGTTACCTTATGCTCATGCTTTTGATCACTGGATTGTCTGGTCCAGACTCAACTATTGACAGACCACCACCATATAGCTGGAAAATGACAGAGTGCATGTTAAACAACAAACCTTGTTACATGTGCTACCAGCTACCAGACATCATAATACAACACTATCAAGTCTTAGATGTGCTACCAGACATCATAATACAACACTGTCAAGTCTTAGATGTGCTATCAGACATTCAAAACGAATGTATCATGACTAAAATGCACAGTCAAACACGATAAAATGGTATCATGTCTTACAAATTGTTTTAATATTTTGCCTGCGGTATCCCATTCCTCATGAGAGACATACTGTTGTAGAAGTTTTTTGAGAATTCTTCAGGTTTAGTTGAGCTGTTCTGTTTCTTTTGGAATGAGCCACGAGATTGGCTGTGCACTGGACCGTATAGTTTATTGTTTTAGTCTCAAGACATGTTGGCATTTAGTAAAAGTCTTGAAAGGATTATGCCTTTCATGCAAGGGCATATCTTGATGAAGAATACAAATGTCTTTTCCAATGTTTCAAATGTTGACATATTTAAGAAAAAGTTCATGATGAAGTATAGTTTTTACCTCCTAGTATGATTTCTCAACTGTTGATCTTGTTGATTTTTATACAATGTGGGAACATGTCTTAGCTTTTTCATAATAATAATGATTTACACTATAGGTATTACAACTAAAATGTCAGAGAAAATTAACATGATTGATACTTCTGTTTTTCTTTAGTCTGTATCCAGATTGAAGTTAACCCTTACCTTTATCATGCTGATTATTGTATGTAAGATGATATTTCATGTTAGCAGTTTTGTTGCACATACTGAACAATCACCAAAATATTTAGTCTGTTATATTTAAGTTGCTGATCTATGATGGTATCGCTAGTCTCCATGTGATTGTTTTGTCACTGTTCACTTAACAGTAATATTAATCATTCTTTTAATCGTGGGGTTAGTGGTTAATGTTCAATTTACAATGTGTTAAGTCCATTTCTGGTGTCAACCGTGGATATTGCTGGAATATTGCAATAAACTAAACTCACTCACTCACTCATTCTTTTAATGTTTTTACAGTACATCAACATGCAACTCAATAAATAATAAAACATCAGTCTAGTCTCTCAATGTGTGTACATGTGGGTATTATGTGCATCCTCTATTTATCAAATTTCTTGATCTACCATGATCCATTTTCATGATGAAACAATAAAAAACTAAACAATTGTAGTCCACTAGTGCTTATAAATAGATATAATATGTAGCACAACTCTCAAAAATGGCACATTTTTACCTGAGTCCCTGTGAAGCCTTCACTCATAGGAAATTTGGCATGACTTATAGGACCACTGCCAATTTCTATCATAACATTTCAAATTAATATGTTAATTTCTTGAAGTACATCAGGGCAATGATAAAATCAACTCTTCAGAGATAAATATTTCTTAGTTTAATTAGATAATGGAAAACTCAGTAAAATTTATTTATATTGAACAGTTTTTGATGTCAGTGTTAATTACTGTCTTTCAACAATGCCGAGTTGTGAATAATGGATGCTGATTATTGCATCCCTGGTTTGCAGGTGGTGTGCAAGGGACAGCAGATATTGATTACACCTGTAGGTGAGATCCCTGGGGAGGGGCCATATGTCAGGTATTGAGGGTTAGTGTAGTACAGTGGAACATCTGATGGAACTGCTACTTTACAATTGAATCACTAGTCAAGAGGACAGACATGTGTAGACCTTATTTCACTGGTTCTCAGAGTTTGTAGCTAATCTTGTTTGAACGAGCAAAAACATTCTCTCTGTTTCCATTTTCTAACACTTTTAATCAGGTCTTATTGATGGCTTAACAAACATAGCCTTCAAATGCTGGTAGTATCAGTCAAAAAGGACAACAAACATTGGATTTTTAGTTTTCTTCAACATAATTTAGTAGTCAAGGACTATTGGACTAGCATGAAATTCAAAGGCTGAACTGGATATGTGATTTATTTGGATTGTTCTTTGTTATGGAGGAGGCAAGAAGATCAAGGTAAAGTCTACTGGACATGGATTTCTTTTTATGTGTGGACACATTTTAGATCATAGGCGGTCCAGAGATGGGGTACAGGGGTGTGCACCACCAACCCCCACCCCACCCCTCTTTTGTCCTGAAAGTTTATTAAATGACCATTGAAACTCTCGCGAAAATGAAGTGTGCCCCTCCACATCTCAAGAGTGTGCACCCCCTTTCCCCAAAGCTGTATCCACCCCTGTAGATGTATACATATATGATAATAATATAATATATTAAGTACACTGATAAACTAAAGAAGATTCATTCATTTATGCAAAAGTGATTGGTTGGTCATTGTATGTTAGTAGAGTACTTGGCATGTTTACAGTGATTTAACAAGTTATATTATTTCATGTTAATACAGTTAAACAGGCTTTAACATGAGTAAGTTTGTCCTGATTGTGGATTCATTACATTGATCATGTTGAGGGGGATAATATTCCTAGACAAGCCAGAGTAAGAGCAAAATATTATGACTGTTTGCGTAGAATATAATGTATGAGTGAAAATGACATGCATTGTTGTGAATTCTGAGTTATGCATATTTTGTGTGTTGTAAATCCCCACTAAGGTTTCTAAGGGCTAAATCAATTAGTCAAGGACCTTGATGTAGGGGCATGTCACTGGTATGAATATGCATTATTACAGTTTATTACCTATGACTATGAGAGCAATATCGGGGCTCATATTTTTCATACGATGCCCAAGGACAAAATATCACTTTGACACGGTGACATGACGTTATGAACAATGCTATGACGTCACATTTCTTCTGTGACGTTGCGTTCTACATGCATGCACGGCAGGTAGCCAGCCTTTGTTTGAAAGTAGATTTGGGTTTATTTTCCTCAATTTGATGACTTTGGGAATAAATAGAACATTATATTCGTTCCCATATCATACTATGTTTACGACACTCGTGCCTAAATATCAGGCACTCATATAATGTCCTCTATATATGTCACACGATTTACACACTCGAGCGTGGTACTCCGACCATTCACCTTCCAACACCGAAAAGTGTTTTCTTACTGGTAGAAGCAGGTTGTGTGTATACCCCAACTTCTTCAGACTGTCTCATGGTCAAACTATATCAGATCTTGTTTGTCAAAACAATTTGCAAAAATAGATACTGCTATTGACTGTTTTACATGTTATCAAATGACAAATGTTACCACAGTGTCAAGTTAGGAAAGAAACTTGTGTAGTTGGTTGTTGGTTTGTTCTTGATCTGTCTGTGATAAGAATGGAGAATGTGACTGCTTGACACAAACATTTTACTGAGAATAGTAAGATGATCCAGGGTATGAAATAACAGAACAGATCTCATTTATTTTGCTTAAATCTCTCTTCCAGCTTTATCATGTTAACGTGTTTATCATTCTGTTCGTGCAGTGTTTCCAGACAGTGTGAGTCTGTGGTGGATGTGTTCCTCAAGTTAAACCAGTTTGACAAGTCTCCACTAGCTCTAGCAGCTAACGGTACCAAGTCATATCATGGGCTTCCAGGTATGTGTCAAGGGACCTACAAAACTAGTGGTCCAGAGGACCCCCAATGATGAATTTAAGGATCATTACAGGAAATATGAAGGTCCTGTAATGTAATGACATAATGTAGTTTGCATACTGTAAGATGTAATAATTAGGTCATCATTGTTCGGTCCAGTTATGATCATGATGATTGTGTACAGGCTGTTGTCATCATGGTCATAGGGCTGGATTATTGCTGAGTGTGGAGTTAAACAACAAACAAAGAGCATTGTCATGCTGATTAACTTAGTGCTTTTCTTAAGTCAAATGATACACACATGACTAATCCAATTACCAACTGCAAAACAGTCTGTCTACTGAACATACAAAATTTGCATTAAAATGCAACAGCATAAATTCCCAACTCCTGGTGCCACTGTGTCACACTAGAGTGTATGAAATAAGCATGAAAGTCGGGGGTTCACCAGGGCTGAGGGTTCACCGATTGCATCACACTAGAGTGTATGAAATAAGCATGAAAGTCGGGTGTTCACCAGGGCTGAGGGTTCACCGATTGCATCACACTAGAGTGTATGAAATAAGCATGAAAGTCGGGGTGTTCACCAGGGCTGAGGGTTCACCGATTGCATCACACTAGAGTGTATGAAATAAACATGAAAGTCGGACGTTCACCAGGGCTAAGGGTTCACCGATTGCATCACACTAGAGTGTATGAAATAAGCATGAAAGTCGGGTGTTCACCAGGGCTGAGGGTTCACCGATTGCATCACACTAGAGTGTATGAAATAAGCATGAAAGTCGGGTGTTCACCAGGGCTGAGGGGTCACCGATTGCATCACACTAGAGTGTATGAAATAAACATGAAAGTCGGGGGTTCACCAGGGCTGAGGGTTCTCCCATTGCGTCACACTAGAGTGTATGAAATAAACATGAAAGTTGGGCGTTCACCAGGGCTGAGGGTTCTCCCATTGCGTCACACTAGAGTGTATGAAATAAACATGAAAGTTGGGGGTTCACCGATTGCATCACACTAGAGTGTATGAAATAAGCATGAAAGTCGGGTGTTCACCAGGGCTGAGGGTTCACCGATTGCGTCACACTAGAGTGTATGAAATAAGCATGAAAGTCGGGGGTTCTCCAGGGCTGAGGGTTCACCCATTGCGTCACACTAGAGTGTATGAAATAAGCATGAAAGTCGGGGGTTCACCAGGGCTGAGGGTTCACCGATTGCATCACACTAGAGTGTATGAAATAAGCATGAAAGTCGGGGGTTCACCAGGGCTGAGGGTTCACCGAGGGTTCATTGCATCACACTAGAGTGTATGAAATAAGCATGAAAGTCGGGGTTCACCAGGGCTGAGGGTTCACCGATTGTGTCACACTAGAGTGTATGAAATAAGCATGAAAGTCGGGGGTTCACCAGGGCTGAGGGTTCACCGATTGCATCACACTAGAGTGTATGAAATAAGCATGAAAGTCGGGGTTCACCAGGGCTGAGGGTTCACCGATTGCATCACACTAGAGTGTATGAAATAAGCATGAAAGTGGGGTGTTCACCAGGGCTGAGGGTTCACCGATTGCAGTCACACTAGAGTGTATGAAATAAGCATGAAAGTCGGGATTCACCAGGGCTGAGGGTTCACCGATTGCATCACACTAGAGTGTATGAAATAAGCATGAAAGTCGGGGTTCACCAGGGCTGAGGGTTCACCCGATTGCATCACACTAGAGTGTATGAAATAAGCATGAAAGTCGAGGGGGTTCACCAGGGCTGAGTCACACTAGAGTGTATGTGAAAGTCGGGGTTCACCATTGTGTCACACTCACACTAGAGTGTATGAAATAAGCATGAAAGTGGTGTTCACCAGGGCTGAGGGTTCACCCATTGCGTCACACTAGAGTGTATGAAATAAGCATGAAAGTGAGTTGGGTTCACCAGGGCTGAGGGTTCACCGATTGCATCACACTAGAGTGTATGAAATAAGCATGAAAGTCGGGGGTTCACCAGGGCTGAGGGTTCACCGATTGCGTCACACTAGAGTGTATGAAATAAACATGAAAATGAAAGTTGGGGGTTCACCAGGGCTGAGGGTTCACCGATTGTGTCACACTAGAGTGTATGAAATAAGCATGAAAGTCGGGGGTTCACCAGGGCTGAGGGTTCACCCATTGCATCACACTAGAGTGTATGAAATAAGCATGAAAGTCGGGGGTTCACCAGGGCTGAGGGGGGTTCACTAGATTGAAATAAACATGAAAAATGAAAGTTGGGGGTTCACACTCAGAGTGTATGAAATAAGCATGAAAGTCGGGGGTTCACCAGGGCTGAGGGTTCACCGATTGCGTCACACTAGAGTGTATGAAATAAGCATGAAAGTCGGGCGTTCACCAGGGCTGAGGGTTCTCCCATTGCGTCACACTAGAGTGTATGAAATAAGCATGAAAGTCGGGGGTTCACCAGGGCTGAGGGTTCACCGATTGCATCACACTAGAGTGTATGAAATAAGCATGAAAGTCGGGTGTTCACCAGGGCTGAGGGTTCACCGATTGCATCACACTAGAGTGTATGAAATAAGCATGAAAGTCGGGGGTTCACCAGGGCTGAGGGTTCACCGATTGCATCACACTAGAGTGTATGAAATAAGAAATAAGCATGAAAGTCGGGGGTTCACCAGGGCTGAGGGTTCACCGATTGCGTCACACTAGAGTGTATGAAATAAGCATGAAAGTCGGGGGTTCACCAGGGCTGAGGGTTCACCGATTGCGTCACACTAGAGTGTATGAAATAAGCATGAAAGTCGGGGGTTCACCTGGACTGAGGGTTCACCGATTGCATCACACTAGAGTGTATGAAATAAGCATGAAAGTCAGGGGGTTCACCAGGGCTGAGGGTTCACCCATTGCATCACACTAGAGTGTATGAAATAAGCATGAAAGTCGGTTCACCGTTCACCAGGGCTGAGGGTTCACCGATTGCATCACACTAGAGTGTATGAAATAAGCATGAAAGTTGGGTGTTCACCAGGGCTGAGGGTTCACCGATTGCGTCACACTAGAGTGTATGAAATAAGCATGAAAATGAAAGTTGGGGGTTCACCAGGGCTGGGTTCACCGATTGCATCACACTAGAGTGTATGAAATAAGCATGAAAGTCGGGGTTCACCAGGGCTGAGGGTTCACCGCTTGCATCACACTACTAAAGTATGAAATAAGCATGAAAGTCGGGGGTTCACCAGGGCTGAGGGTTCACCGATTGCATCACACTAGAGTGTATGAAATAAATAAGCATGAAAGTCGGGGGTTCACCAGGGCTGAGGGTTCACCCATTGCGTCACACTAGAGTGTATGAAATAAGCATGAAAGTCGGGTATCACCAAAGTTCGGGGGTTCACCAGGGCTGGGGTTCACCGATTGGTTCACACTAGAGTGTATGAAATAAGCATGAAAGTTGGGTGTTCACCAGGGCTGAGGGTTCACCGATTGCATCACACTAGAGTGTATGAAATAAGCATGAAAGTCGGGGGTTCACCAGGGCTGAGGGTTCACCGATTGCGTCACACTAGAGTGTATGAAATAAGCATGAAAGTTGGGTGTTCACCAGGGCTGAGGGTTCACCGATTGCATCACACTAGAGTGTATGAAATAAGCATGAAAGTCGGAGTTCACCAGGGCTGAGGGTTCACCATTGCTCCACATAGAGCGTATGAAATAAGCATGTCGGGGGTTCACCACAGGGTTCACCGATTGCATCACACTAGGAGTGTATGAAATAAGCATGAAAGTCGGGGGTTCACCAGGGCTGAGGGTTCACCGATTGCATCACACTAGAGTGTATGAAATAAGCATGAAATTCGGGTGTTCACCAGGGCTGAGGCTTCACCGATTGCGTCTCACTAAAGTGTATGAAATACGCATGAAAGTTGGGTGTTCACCAGGGCTGAGGGTTCACCGATTGCGTCACACTAGAGTGTATGAAATAAACATGAAAGTCGGGGTTCACCAGGGCTGAGGGTTCACCGATTGCATCACACTAGAGTGTATGAAATAAGCATGAAAGTCGGGTGTTCACCAGGGCTGAGGGTTCACCGATTGCGTCACACTACAGAGTGTATGAAATACGCATGAAAGTCGGGTGTTCACCAGGGCTAAGGGTTCACCGATTGCATCACACTACAGTGTATAAAAAAGCATGAAAGTCGGGTGTTCACCAGGGCTGAGGGTTCACCCATTGTTTTTCAATACTGCACTGAAAGTAAACATGGATAAGTAGCTAAGCATGTTGTGGTGTTTCCTTGTGATTATCCTTGATGCCATGGGTGTCACAAGCATGTGTGCAGTGTTCTACCCTTACTGGTTCCTAGATGTGTTAGTTGCTGGTTTCAGATTCCTCCAGTGTTTGTCATCTCCACATTTTTGGGGCTACAGCCTGAGTCGGCTGGGGATTTCCTCTACCATTGCCCACACCACTAATCATTTTACTGAAGTGCTGTTCAAAGTGGACTTTCAGCTTGTTCAGCAGACTATTGTTCACACATTTATCTTTTTAGTTTTTACTGTATGTTTTACATCTAATCTCCCTGTGTTTCAGTTGAAGATGGTGTTGCCCCAAACACATGCAGTATGAATACACACGGAACTCCCCAGGCGCCAGGTAGGATCCTCCAAATGATCCGTGCTCGATCCATTCTCCACATTCTCTATATTCTGGACACTCTCTACTCTACTCTCCAGATCTTCCACACTCTAAAGCACTTCATTCTAAACTTTGTGCTCTCCAGGTGCTTAACACTTTCAACTTCCATTGAAATATTTGATAAAGAAAAACCCTGGGTGAGATATCTATATGTCAGTCATTTCTCAAGTTCCGTAGCTTGCAGTGAGTAGTTATAATGGACTGTTCTGCACTTTGTGCACAATGAACTTACTCAGTTTTTGCATGCTTTTTGACACCTGAAGTTTACACACCTGAAATTGAAAACTGAAGAATGGTTGATTATTCTCTAGCCTCTGAATGTTGTGGAAAACACGTTAATTTCAACCTAAACTGTGCTTACGTCATGCCATGGCTTACAGAAAATCAGCGTCACCACACCGTGGGTATGCTGGAGACTGGAATGGCACAAAATAATGTGGCAACACATTTTGGTGTCCATCAAAACACGATCTCATCTCTATTGAGATGTTTTCAACATAATGGGAGATTTGCCTCAGACCGGCCGTCCACGTGTGGCATCACATCAGCAAGACAATCACAATCGACTGACCCATCTAAGACTGCCAGTTTGACTGCTTGGACCATTTGTCAAACTCAGTTTGAAATTTGAGTAAAAACCTGGCTTACGTCCAGTCAGTGCCATAACTGGACTGATGGAGAACAACAACATCCGGTCCTGATGGCCAACGTCACCGACAGGCACGGCAGCATCTACGGTACAGAAGACAAGATTTGGATGTGTTTTGTTCCCTGACGAGTTGAATTTCATCTGGACTGCTCAGATGGCAGGGCATGGGTGTACAGACGGCATGGTGAACGGTATGCTGACATGTGCGTTCTTCAATGTCGACAGTTTGGTGGCAGAAGCGTTAGGATATGGGGAAACATCACATCTCATGGTCGGACACAACTTGTCATTGTCAATGGCAATCTGACAGGTCTGAGATACAGGGGTGAGATCATTGGGCCTCATGGGCAGCCGTTCATTCAAGGACAGAGTCATAACTTCAAGCTTTAGCAAGATACTGCCTGTCCACATGTCACTCGAGTTATGACAGATTTCTTGAGACAGCAGAACATTCCGGTACTCCCCTGGCTAGCTGTTTCACCGGACCTGTCCCCTATTGAGCTCACTTGGGATGAATAGAGCAACATTTATGTCAAGCCGAGAATCAGCCATTGACGTTATCTGAATTGGGACAAGCATTGGTTCAGACATGGAACAACATTCCTCAAGCTATCTTCAATCATTCAGTGTTATCTATGCGTCGTCATTGTTAAGCCTGCATCAACGCCAATGGTGAACACACTCGATACTGAATTTGTGAACTGACTTTTGACACTTCATCTCTTCAAGGGCGTGTCACAATGCCTAGTATCAAATCATACAGCTTTCGACATTATCCTGTTAACAGTTTAACAGTGAATAAGGAAAACATCACAAATCATGTTAAATCTTTTTACATTAAAAAATGGCATAATATCAAATAATGCACAGTTACTTTATTCCAGTAGTATATAACTTGAACTTATTATAACATGTCTATTATGGGATGTAAAGAGAACATTGCCACTGTCTTTGAGTCTGTTTGAGTGTGACTAAGTATTTTATATATAGATGCAAGGTTTCTGACTCTCAGTTCAGTTTTAGATGAGATTAAAATGGTTAATTAATGAAAAGACTATTCATTATAGTGGTAGTTCCATGAATAGGTGAGTATGGTTTTACGTCGGCTTTAGCTATATTCTAGCAATGTCACGGTGGGGGACACCAGTTAATGTATGTCTGAAGTATGGTATACGCCGCTTTAGCTATAAATGTCACGATGGGGGACACCAGAAATGGCTGCACATATTCCATGAATAGGTTTATGGATGATGTATCACTCTGAGAATTCAGTTCTATATGTTGGTTCAAATATATTTGTTATAAACAATTTTCCATTTCTACTTCTTTCTTCAGTGTTTTAAATGCCTAGTCTTGGTATATGTGTTAATGTATGTCTGAAAGGTGTCCCTATTTTGTTTTATCTCATAATCTGTATTTCCATGGTTTAATAAGAGGTAATTCTCTGCAGATTGATATGTTTTTTCAGCTTTTGTTATAGTTTTAATCACAAATGTTCAGTGTTTTTGCTCAGTTCTCTGATAGATGATAAAATCTTCACTGCTTGACAACTCTCTCCATAAATGCCCCTGATTGTATCCCAGCTTCTCATTTGTTGACAGGGGACACTAGTAATGGCAGCCACCTTCCTGAGTCACGAACCTCCTTCCAATCCAGCACTCCCAGGACTGTCATGGTAAGCTGGCATCCTACAAGGGATACACACCTGTCAGTGTTGTAGGTAGTTGTCATGAGGCATGTGTAGGTGCACCTGCTAGAGTCTGCCTTCAGAACCTGAGACAAAGTACATGCTTGAGTGGTGGTGTTCACATCCCTGGAGGATACAATACATATTGAAACCATGTCAAATTTCAAACTAGTTATCTGAACTGATATTGATCTATCCCCTATATTCCCATCTATTTTACACCAAAAGAACTAAATGGAAACTAAATTAATACATGTATAAGAATATATCTCAGAATAGTCTTGTAACAGTTATGATGATAACTAATGATACACTGACTGGAATCCTGAGCAACCCTTTCGATGACTACAGACAGTATTGACTGAATGAAGTTCTTGAAAACCTTTATAAATGTAGATATTTCTTGAGCTATTTAGAACCTTTGCAGTATTGTTATGCCTTCAAGGTATTTTCACCCTGGAATTAGAACAGCCATATCATAGCACAGTCTTCATCTCTGTAATCTCCTAGTTGTAAGATGAAATGTATATATTCCAAACAGCATGTCAGCACCTTTGTTAAACTACTATTCTGTTGATTCAAATAAACTTTTTATCACAATACCATGCTCTACATACTACATGTATCAGTAAAATATTTTGTGTCATAATACAAGTTCATACAGTTGATAGTGGACCATGTTTTGGACACAGACACACTTCTTATTTCCTCCCATCTCTGCTTGTTAGTCTTCTACTGCTGGAGACACAGCTCAGTCCCAAGAGTGCCACATGTTCCAGAGCTCTGAACATGCCCCTAAATGAACATGATGTCAGAGAGATGGAGCTTCTGCAGCAACTAAGTCAGTCCGACTCTATCAGTGAGGAGTTACAGTATCATGCTGCTGCATCTTCCTTTGAAGACCTTGAACCCCAGATGGCCTCCACACCTGTAAAAGGAGGGAGAAATGTATCCATGACTAAGATGCTGATGAGTTCGGGTCAGTTTGATAGTGCTCTGGAATTGCTGACAAATGACCCTAGAGATGAGACAGAAAGACTCCATGAGGACAGCTCAGTGGAAAATGAGAAACTTATGTCCCAATACACACCTGTGAGAGAGAGCCTGCACAATACTAGGCAAGAAGCTGAAAAGGAGAGTATTTATTCAAGTGTTGAGATCATTGAAAAATACAGTGGGCCTGGTGCTCTAACAGATTTTGTAAATCCATATAAAATTGGCGTTAGGTCCAGTACAGAATCAAAAGATTTAGATCAGAATGACAGTAGCAAGAATGTTTCGCATGATAAAAGTACTGCAGTCAACTCAGAAGTAAGCATGTCAGGTGTTACATCACAAGAATGTACTGGAGATGATCCTGAAACTGGAAATAGAGATGGTTTTGTTTTTCCAAACACAGCTTTGGAAAAATTACAAAAAGAAAGTGATGATTCCATACCTCTGCAACGGCAAGGGAGTAAACTGAAGTTAAAGACACTATCTAGCACTGATGTCACAAACATAAAAGATACTGAAAGCTCAGACAAAGCACAGGCTGCCATGGCAATTGTATCTGATGTCCCGAGCCCTGTCACTCCCAAAGAAAGTGGAAACACAGGCAGGACTGCAGCGGTTCAAACTTCTAAGTTGTCAAGTACAATGCAATCCACAGACGAAAGTTCCAGCAGCAAATGTCCGGTTGATCCTGCTTTAACAGAGATGATAGAGTCACCAGCTTTAACAGATACCTCGAAGAGGAGACCATCTGTTGGAAGTCATTCTGTTGGCTACATCCCTATTGTTCATTATCCAAATAGATGTCCAAGAAGGATGCAGTCTGAAAATTACTCCTCGTTTGATCATTCTCGAAGAGAGACTGTTGAAAAAACCCAGCCAGTTCAGGAAAACAAGACCGGTGTTGATGATAATGAAATACAAGGTCAAATCTCAAAAAGGACCAACGTCTCTCCTGAGGTTGAAAAGTTGAAGAAAGTAAAACTCCTTGAAGTCAAGATGGATAGTACAGAAAGGAAACCAGGCAAAACAGATGTCACAAATCCTAAGACATTTCTTGAAGGTGAGACGCAGGATGTCAGGTCAGGATCTTATACCAGTGATAAAGTCGTAAATAACAATTTGAGTGATATAGAGTTAGGTGCTAATATTGGTGCACAGGCTAATAAAAACATGGCTTCCACAAGGTTTGTAAAAATTCCACCAACAGGTGCTGCAATTGGTTTACGGCCTAGTTTGGGGGAATACAAAAGTCCAGAAATGATTCTACGTGAGAAGCAACGTAAACTGACAGAGAAAATGCTATTTGCAAATGAGGGACCCTCATCAAAACCACCCGTGATAATTTCATACTGGAAGAAAGGTGACAAGGTGGTGTCACCTCTTGCAAAACCTGGAAGTTCAGAAAATCATAAGTGCAACGAACGTGGGTTCACACATAATGCTAGCCCTGGTAACAGTAGCCATAGCAGCAGATCAGATATTTCAGGTGTTGATGTGCATCCCGAACAATCTGGCTCTTACGATCCAGAAGGTAAACTCCAAATGCTAGAATCTTTAGTGTCTCATTACAGTGGTGAAAAGTATGATACTCCCCTGGCACGTCTTCAGAGACATGTGGACAGGATGAGGAACACTTCACAGGAAAGTTTCAAGCAAGAAGAAAAAAGATTTAAACATGACAGTACAACATCAAAATATGCAGCTGATGAATCCGCAAGATCTAATGCTAATATCATTCTTGATGAAACACGGGATACAGATGGAATAACTCAAAAGCACTTAGAAAAGGATTTTGAAATCTCAAGACAAATATTCAACAACAGAGATGAATGTAAGGGTAGTTCTGAAAGATCAGATAGTCAAGGAGAAATAACACAAAGAAACATTTCATTACCAAAGAAATACAATCCAATTAAGTACCCAATAGATAAAGATGAAAAAAAGTTAGAACAGACTGATAGTGCTGCTAGCACACCAGAGTATACAACCCCTTCTAAGTTATTACAAAAGTATCAAGAGAGGGAAGGCGTTCGAGAGAAAAGTCCTGGATATGGCTCTTTTGAATACTCAACTCCATCAACACTGTTACAGACAAGGCAATCTGATCCTTCCATCCAGCCTGCAGACAAGGAAAGTCTTCCAGGGTATACAACCCCTTCTAAGTTATTACAAAAGTATCAAGAGAGGGAAGGTGTTCGTGAGAAAAATACTCAACTCCATCAACACTGTTACAGACAAGGCAATCTGATCCTTCCATCCAGCCTGCAGACAAGGAAAGTCTTCCAGAGTATACAACCCCTTCTAAGTTATTACAAAAGTATCAAGAGAGGGAAGGCGTTCGCGAGAAAAGTCCTGGATATGGTGCTTTCGAATACTCAACTCCATCAACACTGTTACAGACAAGGCAATCTGATCCTTCCATCCAGCCTGCAGACAAGGAAAGTCTTCCAGAGTATACAACCCCTTCTAAGTTATTACAAAAGTATCAAGAGAGGGAAGGCGTTCGCGAGCAAAGTCCTGGATATGGTGCTTTCGAATACTCAACTGCATCAACACTGTTACAGACAAGGCAATCTGAACTTTCGACTCAGCATATACACAACAGAGAAAATCTTCCAGACAATATAACTCCTTCAGAGTCAATGAGAAGGCGTCTTGAAACAAATAATAGGCAGCAGACAGACCCAGGTTATTTCTTCTTCAACTACTTGACACCATCACAGAGGCTTGAGCAGGGGCAGAAACAACATCAGCTTCCTAATGGCAATACAAGTGTCACAGATAATACAACAGTGCCTCAGTCTTCCAGGAGCCAGCAAGGATCTGAAGGAGGGAGTGAAAGTAGTCCTGGATATGGAGTTTTTGATTATACTACACCATCACAGCTGATGTGGGCGAGAGAGAATACACCATCAGGCAGTGGACTTGTTTCTGATGTTTCTGGGGCAAGACCTCTTGTTCCAGGCCTTGGGACATTTTCATATACTACTCCCTCACAACTTAGGATGCAGACCCAACCGTATCCCCCTGATTGCCGGGAAAATAGTGAATCAGGCCTCATACAGACAGCTGGTAACAAACCTGGAACCAAGCAGGATTTGGATCCTGCTCTGAGCGATATCACAACATATTTCAGAAGATTATCAGACATGCTGATAAAAGCATTCCCATATTCGGAATCTTACAGTGAACCGGAATTCATAAAACAACACCCAGATTCTTCTAGAAACAGATTTTTTCCTCAAGGCACAGACAGCAATTCAGACTCTGGACAGAGACAACCAATGCCAAGTCAACCCCTCTCTGTCACTGGCTCTACATCTTCAAATAAAACCTTCAGACCATCTACAGGCATGTCCACAGACTCTGGTTTTGGACATTCAAGCAGAGATTCTGTATCTTCTCTGAGCTATCCAGATTCTGTCTTAACTCCAAGAGAATCTTCTTTAAGGGTGACGTCTAATCTCAGTTTTGAGTCTTACTCTGATGACGAACTTCCTGCAGAAGAAAAGAGGACAATCCCAAAAGGTCTGCATTCAGCTTTGTCAGCAAATGAAATATTCTGGGAACTATTCAATGCCAACCCAAGCCTATCCCTGCATGTGCTGGGTGCTGAGTTTGACACAGCCGTGCAGGCTCTGAACCAGCTATACGATAGCTATTGTTCTGGAAATCCATCTTCTCCTCCTATCCCTGCATACCCTGTTGTCCCAAGAGGACCAGTGTCAGCCTCTGCTCTGTCTACTGCATCTGTCAACCCTGCTGCACCCTCTTCCTTCCAAATGAAACCAGACATGCATACAAGTCAGGTAGGCTTATTCAGATATCAAGCCAATTATACTGAAGATTTATCAATGTAAACTTGCAAAAGTTATCTTTACCTGAAGGAAATTCAGTATGGTTGTTTTGTGGTATAACAGTGATGTATGTCTGTTTAATGTCAGCTGAAGAAGTGAGACTGAATTCTCATAGAATTCAGATGAATTCAGAACTTCATGCATTAACATTTTCTGAATACGTTCATGTCTGACATTGACAGTGTGAGAAACCAGCAAGTGTGCATGTAAAGAGAGAATCATTACAAATTTAGCTATGAAATGTGAACGCTCATTGTTCAGACCACTTGCTGTTTCCCTTCTCACAGGAAGTGAGCTTTCATTGATTTGAAAATAGCACTAAACAGCATAGTCCCTGGATGCATTCATATGTGAAAAGGGACAGTGTATGCAAGTGTTCATGATGAGCATAGCAGACTTTTATAGAGCTTTATTAAGCAAAGCAACCTTTAATCCAAATCCCTAGAAAGATTGTGTACATTGTGAAACAAGCCCTAGTGTTGTAACTGATGTTGTGTTGTATAGAAGTCATGTCTCTGATGTGCATGTAGTAGGGAAACTTGTACTCATTTCCAGGACAACTTTGCTATGGAGGAGGTAAGATGGTTTGTCAGTTTGCAGTGCTGCTGGTGTTTTTATCCCTTTTATTCAGTTCCTTGTCTGTCCTAATGTTAATACAGACTTCACAACACATGTGATTTGACAGACTAGCCATAAATATTGTCTATTCAATCTGCATTGAAAAAGTCTTAAAGTTTGATAAAAGCCTGTGAGTTTGGCAGCTAATATTTATCTATCATTTAATAAACTTAATAACTTTAATAACTTGATACTTGAAAACTGGTGTGTGGTCTTAAATGTTTTATTTGTGTATTTAGATTTACAGATTGAGCCATACAGACAATCAAATAAAGTGGGGATATCCTATTAAATCAGTTTAAAAATGCATTGGCTGTTATTCTAGCCTTGAAGAGGTTATATATTGGTGACTGCCTTTTGAAGGAACCTTATGCCTGTCACATCATCCAATTTGTTACCATTTTGGTCTACCACCAGAATTGTTCTTACATTCTTCTACATCATACACTAACATGCAGCTATCATGACAAACTAGTTTGTTCAGACATGTCTATGCTTTTAATGTTATGGACTTTCTACTATGTCATTATAAAAAATGTTTGCATTTGTACTTGTTTACTTTCAGATTTTTTGTTCTTTGTTAACCATTTCATTCATTTATTGAAATATTCTTATTCCATGAATTCATTTTTATGGTGTGTTTTATGGTAGCTTGTTACATTGCCTCAATTTCTCGAAACAAACTTAAGTCTGAGTTTTGACAAGTGAGAGGTTTTACTCAAATTTGAGAAAACGAAGGAAAATGCATTTCCCACAGTGAACTGAAATCGATATTAAACTCCAACATAGTAGACAATTTAAGTTTGGTGGATAGATTACTTAAGTTGTTTGGGCTTTTTTATTTTAAAAATGCAGTTGAGTTAAAAATTCAGCTGTTTTAAATTGTAAAACTCAGTTTGAAATTTGAGTAAATACTTCAGTTTGTTTCGAGAAAAGGGGGCCAGGCCTCTTTAACTGTATGTGCAGTTGCAGATGTAAAACATTTGAAAGAGATTTCAAAATGAAGTTCTGGGTTATTTTCCTTTTTGACTGTTAACATTTTACATTTCACAATCATATTAATCAAATCACAAAGGTGTAAACAGTGTCCAAGCTACAAGCAGGGAGAAATATTGGTAGTATTTTGCCACATGTTGTCCAAATTAATTGTATAAGTACTTACACATTTTTTTTCAATACCATTGTTTTCTGCACAAGAAAGAACGACAACCTTCCATGGTCTTCCATCATCTTAGTATATGTTTCACCATCAAGATCATCAGTTAAAAAGTTAGAATAAATACATCTCTCCCTAAAAGTACACATGCATTTTATGATGACATGGTTGTCATGATCATAATCATTTGCCCAAGTCTGCCAGTTTGTGCATTTCAAGATATCCAGTCCTACATATATATATTTCTTCTCTCAATTCTGGATATAACATGACCATGTTGTATAACACATGAAGAGTTATTGTTGTATGGATTATAGAATATCTCCTCAGGTCAGTGTTGTATGGATTATAGAATATCTCCTCAGGTCAGTGTTGTATGGATTATAGCATATCTCCTCAGGTCAGTGTCCTCAGGATTCAGCATGTTGTATGGATGGATTAGCATATCTCCTCAGGTCAGTGTTGTATGGATTATAGAATATCTCCTCAGGTCAATGTTGTATGGATTATAGAATATCTCCTCAGGTCAATATTGTATGGATTATAGAATATCTCCTCAGGTCAGTGTTGTATGGATTATAGAATATCTCCTCAGGTCAGTGTTGTATGGATTATAGCATATCTCCTCAGGTCAGTGTTGTATGGATTATAGCATATCTCCTCAGGTCAGTGTTATAGCATGGTGGATTATAAAATAATATCTCCTCAAGTCAGTGTTGTATGGATTCAAATATGTTCAGTGTTGTATGGATTATAGAAACTCCTCAGGTCAGTGTTGTATGGATTATAGAATATCTCCTCAGGTCAATATTGTATGGATTATAGCATATCTCCTCAGGTCAGTGTTGTATGGATTATAGCATATCTCCTCAGGTCAGTGTTGTATGGATTATAGCATATCTCCTCAGGTCAGTGTTGTATGGATTATAGCATATCTCCTCAGGTCAGTGTTGTATGGATTATAGATTATAGAATATCTCCTCAGGTCAATATTGTATGGATTATAGCATATCTCCTCAGGTCAAGTGTTGTATGGATTATAGCATATCTCCTCAGGTCAGTGTTGTATGGATTATAGCATATCTCCTCAGGTCAATATTGTATGGATTATAGCATATCTCCTCAGGTCAGTGTCTGTAGTGTTGTATGGATTATGGAATATCTCCTCAGGTCAGTGTTGTATGGATTATAGCATATCTCCTCAGGTCAGTGTTGTATGGATTATAGAATATCTCCTCAGGTCTATATTGTATGGATTATAGGATTATGTTGTATGGATTATATATCCTCAGGTCAATATTGTATGGATTATAGCATATCTCCTCAGGTCAGTGTTGTATGGATTATAGCATATCTCCTCAGGTCAATATTGTATGGATTATAGAATATCTCCTCAGGTCAGTGTTGTATGGATTATAGAATATCTCCTCAGGTCAATATTGTATGGATTATAGAATATCTCCTCAGGTCAATATTGTATGGATTATAGAATATCTCCTCAGGTCAGTGTTGTATGGATTATAGAATATCTCCTCAGGTCAATATTGTATGGATTATAGAATATCTTCTCAGGTCAATATTGTATGGATTATAGAATATCTTCTCAGGTCAGTATCAGAGGTCAGCTCCAAATGATACTTGTTTCTTCTTCCTATAATACAATCTGCCCCCACACATTCTTCATGAGGAATTCCCCATGTGCAACCATAGTGAAATACATGATAAAGGAAGTTCTATTTCTTTTTTAAACTATTGAAAGCTGTTGTATTCACTTAATCATTCTTCATGGTTTTTTTTCAAGTATCATATCTTCTGTATTAACTTTTTGATGTGTTGTTTCAGTCAAGACCATGTGACATTCAGCACAAGATGTCTTCCTCCATGTCCATCAGCCCCCGTACAGCTGCATCAGATATGCGCAGCTTCATGGTGGAGAAGGTCAGTCACATGACAGTGTGGTCAGTCACATGACAATGCAGTCATGTTGATAGGGATGTCACAATACATAAGTTTCATAAATCGATACGTATCACGATACCCATGTCACGATTCGATACGTATCACGATACCTATTTTCGCGGCATTATTGCGTAAATTTAGTTACATTTTGAACATTAATATTTCATATTTTATAATTGTCCATGAAATGATCAACATTTTGGATTCTAAGAGATTAAAAGTTCTAATTTCCCATCTTTGTGCATGAAAAATAATCATTTATAACTCTCATAACATCAAAAAACATAATACAATTGCAAAATATAGACGATACATAAATATATTTAAACCGATACTTTCAAACCAAAATATTGATACAGTTTTATATGTATCGATAATATTTGTGTCGTCTTAGAAGAAGTATCGATGCATCGATGTATCGTGGCATCCCTACATGTTGACTAACTTTTATTATTTCAGTGCTGATTTATGACAAGTTATCAGCTGCAAGCATGCCAATAGCGCATTTCCAGGCATCAAGGGTTGGAGTGGTGTGGCTAGATTTTGTGTTTACCTGGGTCAAAACAGCCCATTAAGATTTTTAAATTCAAATGCAACTTTTCACGAGTTGTGATGAACACATGTAATGGTATGGCACCTGTTTTGCCTGTCATTCATTGCTTTCAAACGAACTGTTGACAGGCAGGGATTCACATGGAGAAACCAAATCAGATGCACTTGTCAGGCAATTTGGGGACAAACCTCTGCCTGTTTGTAAAATGAAGATTTTGTTGAGCTCCTATTCCTCATCTTCACTGGCATTTCAACATTATGTTCATGTAATAATGCCTCCTCCTCTTTATCCGGTCATCTGTGATACAAGTCACCTCTGCCATGCCAATTTATTAGTTGTAACTGAACTACATTTTGGTTATTTTTCTCCAAGATGGGAGTTTGCTACACACCTAAGAACAGCTGTCAACTTCTTAATCAGTATCGATAATATTGATGGGTTCAATCTTAAGGAGTTCTGAAACCCAAGTACAGTCTCTTTGAAAGATCATTAGAATTTTTGTACCATCAGGGTGTTTATTTTATATTACATATATTAGTTATGAAGTTTGGTGTGTGACAATAAAGCCCTGTTGTGTTCCACAGGAGAAGATGGAGAGCCAGATGCGGAAGCTGCAGGTGGAGAACTCGACCCTTGTGACAGAGAACAAGTTGATGAAGGAGAAGTTCAACAGGGCCTCCGGTACTTTTGGCTTGACTCTGTGATTCAAATATTACTAGTGGTCACTATATTTATCTGGATGGTCTGAACCACCATGCAACAACAATCACATCTGATTTATATAGAACAAAACGATTAGGTATTTAAACAAATCTATTAAGTTTCCTTGTTACATCATGCCATGAATATGATTAAAATATACCTGATGATACAATGATTGTAACTGTTGTAATGAACATGCCTTAATTAGATTTTGGACGGTGGTGTTATAAGATTCCTTGGAGAGTCATCTCAGTAAACTGGGCAGTGACCTCACATTAGCTACCCCCACGGAGATCCGGGTTAGAATTGGTCTTCAGCAACACAAGTGGCAACTACAGGGTAATCAGGCTCACTGAACTGCTGAGTTCGGCATTGAACAACGAAAAAGGAACTAAACACCATAAATGTTAAAGATACATGCAAATATGTTATTGTGTCCACTGTCCCATTCTGTCACGGATCGGGAGATAATACAATTAGATTTACAAATACATCAGTTAGGTAAAGTCAAAAAGTCTCCCCGACCAGTGAACATATGAAACATCTGTCAAGTCTAATTTACTTCAGTAGTTAAACATTATTTTTCCTTATTCTGACTCCTGACTCCTGCTGATTGCTTATTGACCTTCTCCTTTCAACGGTTAAGCGGAAACTTGAATCCTTTTCAATTCCCTGAAGCGATCGTGATATCACTCATCCATGAGTAGCCTCCCTTTTCCCGCCAAAACGGTCCCACGTGACCTGAATCTAGCTCACCTCACCTCACCTCCTTCATCGCCCAAGCAAACAGTTTGGCGGTCATATGGGTCCTTTTTGCGGCGTATATTCTTTGTTGTTCGGCTTTTTAGTCAAAATTTGTGGCTGTGAATTCTATTTAGATACCTTTTAGATTCATCACAATGTATTATAGAATGTAAATTTCTACTAAATTCTATGTTTTACACTCCGTTGCAGGTGGTTGTTTACCAATGGTGGCATGTCAACAGTGCAGATTTCGTTTGTCTGCAGCTGATCCACACCCTGTTTGCCCCTCTTGCTGTCTTCATTTGTGCTCATTATTAGCACATCGTAAGTATTGTGCACATTTATTAACAGATTTGTTTAATAAATATTTGTTAGCACGTTTACGTAAGGTCTCAGATAAACAAAAGCATATCAGCAAGGCAGTGGCTGTGAGGGGTGATTCTGAGGCGGAGTGTCAGTTGTCACAGATCACTATGGAGAATTCCTCCGAGGTTTCTCCCGTCTCTGTCACTCTTACAGAGACAGCTACTCAATCTACTTCTAAGAGAAAGTCACCACACAAGGAAGATACTGAACTACAATGCTTGGCGAAGAAAAAGAGAGCGTCTAGATTGTCTAAGAAATCATCATCAGCGAGATCTACCTCATCTACACATTCTACTAGAGCAGAGAGATCCGCGAATGCACCTACGTGTATACATGGTTCAAGAACGCCTTATCGTATCTTGACAAATCACCACCGGTTCTCGAACCGCAGATCATTTTGATGACTTCACAGAACACGTCTACTAGTACCCCTGCAGGGTGAGCGAACCCCTTCACAGAAGCTTTCATCTAAGACGTCATCTAAGAGAAAACATTCGTCTCATCACAGATCTTTGTCTGCGTCAGGGTCCGAGAACCAGTTCGCACAGTTCGCAAAAGGGTCCACAAACCAATCTACCTTGACGCTACCGAGGTAGAGAGAATTAACGTCTGGGGAAGAGTTCCTGAACTCTCATAAACGGAGATCGTCATCTCATTGTCGTCATCAGCGAACTACGTCGACTACATCAAAGACTTGTGAGAACCCTTCGAATTTGACGAACCCATCTGTGGACCAGGATTTTGTGGCTAGTATTACATGACAAGTAGTCTTAGCTATGCAACAACGTTCAGCGGAGAATCAACAGTCTACTCCTACGGCATCTATCAGCGATTCCGTCCTTGAGGAAGCACCAGCTTCAGATATCAGTGTCCACGAACTAGACGATTCAACTATCTACCCAGACTCTGAAGTTTTGTCTTGGATACTAGATGGTATACGAATATCTCGGCTGAGACATATCGTATAGTGGACGAGGATTTAGACACGCTGACGATCCCACCAATAAAGCCGATACCTAAGGTTTCGTCAAACCTCAAGTCAAGCATTCACAAATGCAACTAGACATCAAGGTCAACATACACCGGCATTTAATGCAAGGAAAGTTCCTCTACATAGTATGGAACCGTTCTTCAGAGCCCCAGAGACTGACGACAACTTTCATATCATCAGCGACTCCAAGTCTTATAGCTACAAGGTGGAGGATAGGAAGTTGGCTAACCTAGATACTACTACTAGACGTACGTTCTTCGGAGTAGCTAGATCTCGAGCTATCAACAAAGCCTTAATCAACAACTTCCAGAAAGATCAGGAGTTAATGTCCGATCACCTGGCTTCTACATCGGCACACCACAGGTGCATCATTACCCAGAACATCAACGCATCAAACTGATGGAAGCCATCGAATCACTACTTCTAGATCAATGTAGTCTTACCCCAGGATTCGGTTCTCCATTCTTTTTTATATATTCCTCCTTGGGGTACTTATAAGCATTTAAATGTCCATTTAAAATCCCTACGACAGTTGTAACAATATTTGAATAAAAATATTTACAAAACAAAACTACGTTTTGTCTTGTGAGACCACCCTTACAGGGCCCTCCGGCCCCCTACAGCCAAGAGCAGGTAACTCTAGACCGTAACCTCGTACCTCACTTTCCATGCTGTCGTTTCCCGACAAGACGTGGGTCCATTACAAGAAAGTTTTCTTTTCCCGGCGAGAATTATGAGTGGGTCAGAAACAGCAACTGTATGTATGGTTCTCTTTTTTACCTGCATGGGCGATTTGAAGGCTTGTTCTGAACTTTTTCATTCATAATTTTTAGTTGTAACTTGGTACCTGTCGCGGTCGGCTCGCCGGGTGCGTGCCAAGATGGCAGCCAGGTCCCTTCGCTATCATCACTGTTCATTGGTTTCCCGTGTGGTTTTTCAATGTTACAGGTGGTTTTAGTAATTTTTACTTATATGTGGTTACATGTAGGGCGTTTCCACTGCTTGCATTTTCTATCTTACGATAATAAGTCGTAGTTATGTCAGTGCGTATTATGGTTATTGTCAACTGTATGCTACGTTGTCGCATTAGTTGTGTCGCCCATGCGTGTTTTTTCATATATGTATGTGTGTATGGGGTTGATTGCTGCACAGGTTGTTTAATTGTTGCAGTTTAAATCCTGTACTTCGTGCCTTGCTGCCATTCCCGTCAGGGACACACACGAGGTGTGCTTACGTTGCCTCACCCAAACTGAGCATGAGGAAGAGGGGTGTGTGGCATGTGCCACTTTCACGCCTCAAACTATTAGAGCACGACGAGTGGATCAGCTGTTCTACAGCAACCTGATTCGGGCGGGGGGTGATATCTGGGCGCAGGATCCCCCGTCCAAGCGTTCACACAAAAAAAAGGGTCTACGGGAGCCGCTTCCCATACGGAGCCGGCTCCCAAAAGAGCTAAAGGTTCCAAGGAGGCATCTAATACCAAACCTCAACCTGCTCCTGTCTCTACCCCCCCGTTGTGTCGGCACCAGTTGTGCCTGTTGAATCACTAACCACTTTATTCCAGGAACAGATGGCGTCAGTGAAATCTCTCATCGATACGGCGTTGGATGGGTTCCGTAAGGAGCTCAGCGCAGCCGGTCGTGGGGGGTGGATCTGACACATCTGGGGGAGTTGGCTGCGGCCCGAAGCTTTGGCTCGAGGGAACGCTTCCCCAGGGCAGCTTGATCCCGGCCGGCCGTGGAGATAGCTAGCGCCGGCACCTAGTGGCGGCCTCGCCGCTCGGGCGTAGGTCCGTCACAGGTGGCTGGCGCCGGGCGATGCAGGGTTGCCCCTGGCCGCCTGGTGCCCTGACTGGCACTAGCCTCGGCACTGCCCAGCTCGGGGACACCTCGGCGCCTGGCAGCCAGTCTGGGTTGCCCGGGAGGCCTGTTGCGGCAGGCTCCTCTCGGCGCCGGGCGACTTGGGGCGAGTTCTGCCCGGCTGGGGCGACTCGTTGCCTCTGGCCTCTTGACCTTTATGGTCTTTAGGGTTCAGCTCTGGTGTATCCTCGGCGGTCTCTCAGGAGTATGAGAGTACGGCTGCCGAGGATTATGCCGAGGTGGACATGGAGGACGATGGAGGGAGGGAGGAGTCGGAGGCGGGAGTGCCGTACTCCTTTGGCTCGTCTCTGAGGCAGGTGCAGGAAAAAATTGCCGAAACCCTGCCCCAGGTGGCCGTTCCCACACAGGCGCTCGACCCCACGGAGTTTCGGCGCCCGGGGGAGGCTTTCGAGCCTACCAAGGTCACCGAGGCGCGCCTCCGCATTCTACCATCACTGGTAGGTGAGGTGGTAAATCCTCTCTTGACTGGTTCTCGCTCGAGATTTGATCTGCCCGACGTTGGCAAGAGGTACCAGTTGGGAGAGGAGGCGCTATTCGAGCTGCCAGTGGTGGACGAGTGTGTCTTTGCGTCCGTTACTTTGGGGGGATCGTCCTCGTCTTCCCTGGCCTCGACCAGGCAGGGCAGGCGCCTCCCCCCTTTTCCCATTAATTCCCTTACGCTGAAGTCTGCGTAGCGGTCCTTCGAGGAGTGCTACCGGTGCGCAGCCCAGCAATTAAAGGTGGCGGTCCACTCAGCCTACCTGTCTGCTCTGCAGGGGCAGCTGGTGGACCAGAGCGCTTGTGACGCCGACTTGTCGGCGCCAGTGCTCGCGCGGCAGCTCACGGGGGTACACTCACATCTGGCTCGGGATAGCATTGGGTGCTGTGCCAGTCAGATGATGGGTGCCGTGATGGGCCTGCGCCGCCTGTGGTTGTCTGTGGCGCCTATTCACCTCAGGGCGCCCTGTCATTGCCCTATACCATGATCTTCCCTGTTCCCAGGGCATTGCCAAGTTATG